GAGCTCTTCAGATGATGGATATATGAATGGAAGTCTTCAGATGTTGGTTGGATGGATGGATGGATGGATGGATGGATGGATGGATGGATGGATGGATGGAGCACTTCAAGTGATGAATGGATGGATGGATGGATGGGTGGATGGATGGACGGATGGATGGACGAAGCTCTTGAGATGTTGGATGGATGGATGGAGCTCTTAAGATGATGGGTGGATGGATGATGGGGCTTTTCATTTTTTGTATGGATGGATGGATGGTGCTCTTCAGATGTTGGTTGAATGGATGGATGGAGCTCTTAAGATGATGGGTGGATGGATGATGGAGCTTTTCATTTTTTGTATGGATGGATGGATGGATGGATGGATGGTGCTCTTCAGATGATGGATGGATGGATGGATGGATGGATGGATGGATGGATGGGGCTCTTGAGATGATGAATGACTGAATGGATGGGGCTCTTCAGATGATGGATGAATAAACTTACGGATTTACCTCCCCTGAGATTGCTGGCAGCTGACTGAAAGAATAGTGTGGGAGAGGTCTGCGTGAGTGTGCGATGTCTTTTGGGCCATATCTTGCAACCCCAAGCCAGGACCCTTAGTTGCAACACAGCTATCATGGTTCTATGGTTTGTTTTTTAGTTTGTTTTTTTTTTGTTTTGTTTTTTTTGGGTTTCAGTATTCCACATCAAAACATCATGTAGTGTACGGGGCATTAAAGTGTTAATGCCCCAGTCCCAGGTACCTATCCCTGTACATTACAGAAGCCACGGGATCTGGCCCTTCCGGGTGGGGGGGCCGCTCTCTTGCTGCCTTGCAGTGGGTGCTGGAGGTGCTTTCCTAGCCGTTCCAAGCTTTTCAGGTTTGACTCAGTCCCGGGAACTCTCTCTCTCATCTTGTCTGATTTATTAATCTCAATTTCAATTAAATTGTATATATTGTGTTATCTTGTATTCCGATATTATAGTAAAATAAGTTTTCCTCCATAGATTTTTGCTGCTGCTCTTTTCCTCCCTTCCTTCCTTCCCATTTTTGTGGGACTGGGGTGGGGAGGGAGGGCTGTCGCCCCTGTCACGGACATAGATTGATCTGGTCAACTCTGTGACAGCAGCCTTCTCCACACACACCTCTCTGGTTGTGCCAGTGCTTCCCTGAGGGCTGGAGGGCGGCCAGCCCTGCAAACTGGGGGCTCCCAGATGCACCATTCCATCCCTCATGCGCTGTGTTTATGTGTAATGGGCTCTTGTCTGGTTGGGAAAACACCCTATGCAGATCCCAACCCTGAGCCTGCAGTCTCACCTTGCCTTCCTCTTGTCCTCACTTATTCCCTCCTCAGACTGCGTTGTATCCACTGGAATGGTGAGGTGGATCCAGCTGGTGAGGGGTGGCAGTGCAGGAAATTCTTCTGGAATTGAGAAGGAGAGATCTTGTCAGAGGAGACTGACTGTAGACCTGCTGGCCCAGTGACACACAGGGGTGCTCAGGCCTGTCCCAAAGCACCCGAGAGGGCTGCCTCTGCTCCCCTCACAGATGCAGAGACCGCGGGCCCTCTGTGCCTCATGCCCAGCTCCTCCTCTCTGGGGTGTAGCTGTGTTTTGGGACTGCATTAATGGCTTTGCTTTGGGAAAGAGGAGCTGGGTGGTGCCTGGGAGGTGACAGTTCCTTTTGGGGGCTCATTTCCTAGGGAAAGGACAGGGCTGATGACCCCCCAGTGCTCTTGCCATGCCCTGGGATGGGAGCACTTGTGGGAATTTCACCCAGCATCTTAGATTTGATGAGGACAACGTGCAGTCAGGAGGAGAGGCAGAGCTGAGCTGGTGCAAATGGTTTCACAAGTCAGGGCCTTTGGGTGATGGTGGGCTGGGGATTTTCCCATCACGTGTTGGTTGTGTGTGGCATGGAGAGGGACTGGCAGCTGCTTTACCTCTCTTGCCCTGGCCAAGACGTGGCAAAAGCCTTTTGGAGGCCCTGCAGGGTTTCCCAGGTGGTAGTTTGGGTGCAAACTCCCATTTAAACCTGTACAAAAGGAGAAGACACGGTATGACCCAGGGCTCCTGCTGCCCTTTCTGCTGGCTGGGATCACCTGCTCGCAGGCAGATTCTCACATCGCCTAGAGGCCATAATTCCCCAGTATCGACTGCGCCCTGATACCAAGGACTGTCTTGGGAAACGGGGTCACCCAGGCCACGGAGGGATGAAAATGTCACCTAAATTCCTTCATCTCTCCCATCAGATCTACCTCACAGATATGTCTGCAATCCAGGAAGCATTTCCTGGAGGTGACTTGCTGAAATGTCCGCCTCTGGAGAGAAGGTCAAGCCTTCCCTCAGTTCCCTGAGCAATTGACCTGCGACCTGAGTTGTTGGCAAGCACCAGAGGAGCCCGGCACGCTGACTCTAAGAAAGCATGGAGTGTGGTGCAGGGTGGAGTCCTGTGGCCAAATTCCATGACCGCCCTGTGAGGATGGGGCCTTGATGATACTATTGGAACAGATAAGCTATCCTGCTTTCTTGGCCCACCCTGAGCCAAGGCTTTCCACCTTACATGTTTTCAAATAAACTTTGCAGGACAAAGGTATATTTGACTTGGGAGGCTCAAGCTCCACCTGAAAGTAAGAAATTGTATAAAATGGCATGAGAGAGGAGGAATATGGGGGGGTGGAAGGATGCCATACGCAAGTGGGGAAGCAGGGGCCGCAGCCACAAACATACTCACCTGGGAAAGACGATGACTCGGCCTGAGGAAGTCAGGGAGGCTACAGCCTCCACCTGGGACACCACTATGTCCAGCAGCCAGGGGACCTGCAGGGGAAGAACAGGGAGGATGTGGGACATCCTTGTCACGGCTGAGGCACTGGGGACACGAGGAGCCCAAGGCAGGGAGAGCAGCACAGCACTTGCACGGCCCAAACAGCTGGCCAGGTCCTGATGGGCTGTGTGCGAGCAGCTCTGGGCTCATGAGGCTGCCCAGGACATGGAGAAACCAAAGCTCACCTTGAAAAGAACTTTTTCTAGGTTCTCCTTCCCGCTTCCTCAGGCAGTGGGAGACGAGAGACGTTGTGCCAAATATGCAGGCCTTCCCAGTCTGCCGGCTCACAGATGCAGCTGTGGCCATCTCAGAGAATCTGAGGGCCTCCAGCTCCTTGTGGCCTGGAAAATCACACGGCAGAGGTTGTCATGCAGCAGCCACTCCGTGGGTGCTTCCCAAGTGCTGCTTATTGCAGTCACCACCCAGGACAGCCTCGTACTGGGACGGGCTCCATGGAGGGAGGGTGAGGTTTGCTTTTGAGAATGGAGGCGATGGCTCCCTTTTTCCCGTCTGTGCAGCAAGAAAGGGTTTAAGCCTCCTCCTACCTGGCAGGTAATCCTTGTAATCCGTGACGTTACGGATGCCTGCAAGGTTCCTGGCTGGGTGAAATGCAGGCCACTGAATAATCATGGTCCCATTCTCGGCCTCGATCTGCTTGGAGGCAATGCTGAAGGAACCGAAGGTGGGAATTTGAACTCCCTGCACGTGGAAGAGAAGGGAAGGGCTGAAGTGTTAAGGCTGGAGGAAGAGCTGAAGGTTGCCCTGTCCACGGACGGTGCTTTGGGTCCTGCTGTGCCCTCTCCCACTGCTCGGAAGCTCAGGCAGGGCAATGGGAAGGATCTGCACGGTCCTCTCCCTCCCTTTGCCCTCCAAAAACACAACCCAGTAGTCAGGGCAGCAGCAGCCTCAATCCAGAGGCTTCCAGAGTTCGTGATCAGCCCCAGCATACATGCTGTAGTCATACCATGCATGTGGGAGGCCCACTGGTACCCGACAGGCATTTTGGGGGGGTGAATACCCTGCTTTCTGCGGAGGGGGAGAGTCATTGCGTTCTGTGGCCCAAGGCAAGGGACTCCCACCCCTCCAAGCAGACAAGCAGGAAGAAGGTGCCGACCCACCTTGCGCAGCAGGAGCTGCTCTTGGACGTAGTCAGCCACCGCATCCCAGACAGCAACTCGCTCTGCAGGGCAAAGGAAAAGCAGGTCACACTCTGCTTCTGCCGCTTCTCCTACTGGCTCAGAGCAGGAGGGAGGCAGCAGATGGAAAATGTCGTCGCCATCCCCAGCCCCACACGGAGGCAGCCCTGAGGTGGTCCCCGTGCTGGTTCTTGCCCGCTCAGCGCCAGGACTCACTGGCAGCTCTGCTCCCCTGCTGGCTGTGGACCCACATACCTTTGGCGGTGACCTCTGGCATTCTGTAGCCCCGCGGTGTGGCGGGGCCATCCTCCCAGAATTTTATCTCGGCCTGCTTGGCACAAGCAGGATGCTCCACATTGGCAACAGCCATGCTGGAGCTCATCCTTCAGGTACATCTGCTCTCTGCCAGATGCTCCTTCAGGATGCGGGACCCACCACCACGCTCTGCCTTTATACCCCTCCCAGGTGCCCGTGTCACAAACGTCGCCATGGTGACCCGGTGACAGCATGGCCAGTGCTGCCTGCTGCCCATTGTGATGTCAGCACAGCAGCCTGCTGCCTGACAGCCCGGCTCTGCCCCTTGGTGCCTGGCACTCCCCAGACCTGGAGCCCTCGTGTGCCGGCAGCACCACAACAGAGGTGTTGCTGGCGCCCCCTCGGGCAGGCTGGTCTCACTGTCAGATGCTGAGTCTGTGATCTTCTGAGGTTCTCCCTGTGCTGGCCTGAACTCCTTAGCCCTAAACTGCAGGCATTTGGCTGATCTGGAGCTCAGTGGCTGCAGGCTCGCTTGCTCCCCTTGGGCACCGAGGGCAGGCTGGCCTTCGAGCTCCATGAAGACCACCGGGTGGGTTTTGCTGCCCTTACTCAGCCCAGGTCTGGTGCTTGGCCTTGGGTTCCACGTTAGTTTGGCTGGATGTTTTTCAGGCAGAAGCCAGCTCTGGAACACCCGTGCCCTCTTAGAGATGGCCAGCCAAATGCCTGGAGAGGATGGGAGAGAGAACCAGCATTTCCAGGGAGCTCGGCAGCAGACCTCTGTTCTCTGTTTTCCTTCTAAAGTTTCCTTCTAAAATTTCCTTCAATTTCTCTAAGAGCAAGAGGAAGGAAATTTCATTTCAAACAGCATTTCAAAGGAAATGTGATACCCTGAAAACCAGTTTGGACGTGGGACTAGTTTTTAGTCACAATACAGTTTAGAAGAAAAAAATGCAAACGCCTCTATTGAATGCTAAATTGCAGTTATTCTACATGGAGCCTGCGTGTCAGGGAGCCTGAGCCTTCCCACCAGTGCTGCATTCCATGGCAGCAGTGGGGCAATCTGACAAACTGGCACCTGGCATGGAAGTGTGTGTGGAGCAAAGGTGTGGAACTGAGCTCCTTCATGTAGAAAAAATGACACCACTGACCTTCACTGATGTCTACTGAGACAAAACAGCAGATGTCAGCTTTGGCATCACATAGTAGCAGCATGAAGTATACTGTGAAGAGCTGCAACCTTGTAATAAAGCAAGGATTGTAATAAAGCTAGGATTTATCCTAGCAAGGATTGCAGCCTTTCAAGACCTAAAGGGAGCCTACAAACAGGAGGGGAATCAGCTCTTTGAAAGGGGAGATACCTGCAGAACTGAAATCCTTCTGGCCCAGCTGGACCACCCAGGCTAGCCGGCCTGCCGGCTTTCGGCCTGCCAGTGCCTTTTGACCAGTCTGCCAGCTTTTGGCATGGCAGAACCCCTTTGGCTGGCTGGGAGGGGTCTGGAAACGTAGAGCTTCATGGGCCAGCTGGCTGGCCACCTTTCGCCTGGCAGTGCTCCCCTGAACAGCCAGCCGGCTTTCAGCCTGGCCTAACAGGCTTTGTAAGAGTTCCCCAGCCAGTCAGCCAGCTTGACCGAAGATTCGGGATCTCCCACAAGGGCTGGGTGCAGCCGGTCCACACAGCCCCAAGGCAGACCATCCAGGCTGCCACATCAGGTGGTGGATCACTGAACGTCTCAGGCAGACGGCAAAGAAGATCAGGCCTAGCAGGGCTCCTCCCCCCCCGCCCCTCCCCCAGCCAACATGCCTGTTGAGGCCTGGCAGAACCCCCCTGGGCCAACTGCTCTTATATCTCCATTAGACCTTGTTCTGCTGTGGAGAACAGGTAGGAGCAATTCACTTGTCTGGCAAAGGGGTGGAGCCTGGTTCCAGCCCTCCCTGACCTCATTTAGGGCTGGCTGCCCCCTGTGAGGGCTCTCTGCATGGAGCTGTGTTCTTTTTTGGTGTTCTGTGTGCCCTGATCTTCAGAATGGGTTCAGCAGTTTGGTCTTTGTTTTCTGGATTGAGTTCTTTACTTTTTGGCTTCCAAAGGCGGGGCGCCCACGTGCGCTGCGGCAGACCGAAGTGGAGTCGGAGGGGCCCAGCCGGCACAGCCCAGGCCGGCAAGCCACGGCGCAGCCGAGCGAGGCTCCGAGCTGGTGAGCCTCTGCCCAGAGGGACCGCATCCAGCACGGCAGGCGTCGGCTGGTTAGCGTGCGAGGCCGGGACAGCTCGCAGGCTGCGGCTCCGGGGCGGGCAGAGCAAGTCCCAGCGCCAGTGACATCAGCCGGGCTGCTGGAACCTGCGTGCTGTCGCGCCGCGTTTCCATGACGACGGCGGCCCCCCCCCCCCCCGAGGAGCCGAGGGCAGCTTTCTGCCGTGTTTGTTACCCGATGAAGCCCATTGCGGGGGTGCTGGGCAGACAGCCTTGCCACAAAGGCCCGTGCTGCAGCAGGATTGACAGCACGACTCCTTTTGTTTCTCCTTGAGCCCTGGGCAGGCTTCGGGAAGAAAACCAAGAGGAGAAAGAGGGCACCGGCTGTTCCCCTGGACTGTGCCATCAATTGGTTTATTCCGTGCTAGAAAGGCTGGAGCTGCTTGCAGCAGCTCTGGATGCCTCACCCGTGGGATGGATGCATTGCTGATGGATGCAACTTCCCCGTGGCTGGGAGAGGTTCTCCAGATCCTCATTGCAAACGGCCTCCCCAGTGACTGCAGCTCTGGGTGATGGTTAAATACTGGGGCAATTGGTGACGTACCTTCCTTCATCGCTGCGCTCACGTGGCAAGGAGCAGACCCACTGCCTTGCTTACTGCCTTTACTGCTAGCTTCTCCTTTGGCTACAGATGCTGCCAGTATTATTGTTTCTACTATTTTGTCATAGGCAGTAAAATAAGCCTATCTCAAAGATGTTGGTGTCTTTGTTCTCCCTGTTGAGCCCATTGAGTGGTACAACAGCATCAGCACATGATGGGCACGTAACTTGGACATCAGCAACATGACTTGAAAGGCCAGCATCAGGAACGTCTCCTTTGGAGAGAGACTGAGAGGTTTGGGCTCGTTGAGCCTGGAGAACAGAAGGCTCTGGGGAGACCACGTGACTGCCTTTCAGCACACGGGGCCTCACAGATCACCCAGTTCCAACCCCCTGCTGTGGCCAACAGCGAGATCAGGCTCCCGGTCAGTTTGCCCAGGGTGCCATCCAGCCTGGACCTGAACACCCCTCAGGACGGGGTATGCGCAGCGTCTCTGGGCAGCCTGTGCCAGCAGCTCACCAGCTTCTAAGTGAAAAACTTCCCCTGGACGGGTTTATTTTTCTGATATGTGTGGGTGAGGTTTCTTTGCTCTGAAGTGCCTACAACTCGCATTTCTGGAACTTGGAAACCCTGCTCGAATGGCAACAGAGCATCTCCAAAGGCACCAGGTGTGCCTGCGTATGCCGGAGGATGACGGGAATCCTTCTGCAGCCTCTCTTGCCAGCGTCTGTTGCCTCCACGGCACCTGCTGGCATCTTGTCTGCCTGCAGATACCGCGATGTAACACTCAGGCTATGGGAGAGTCGGCACTGAGCAACATTCATGTGGGCTCCAGCAGAAAGAGTGCCGTGTGATGCATGGCAGGCACGGTGCAGGGCTGACTGCCTCTCGCGCTCACCACCCAGCCTCTGTTGAGCTGAATTCAGTCTGTGTGACATGTGGCAGGTTCTTGTGCCATTTGCCAAGTAAACCACGGCGACTGTCGATAATGATATTTCAAGCTCGTGAGGTGTGTGTGCCTGAGAACGCACAGGGTTTTGTTTATTTAGCAGACTTGAAACAACTTCTCTTACTAAACCATTAAAGTTAGGCTTGCGTTCTTTTGTAAAATAATTTAGTAAGTTAACTGGAACTCCTCCTGGAAGAGGAGCTCCCCTCCCCTACCGGTGACCTAACAGAGCTCCAGGTGACACGGGCTGATGTCACAATGCCTAACAGAGCTCCAGGTGACACGGGCTGATGTCACAACGCCTAACAGAGCTCCAGGTGACACGGGCTGATGTCACAATGCCATTTGCTGCCTCACAAGCAGATCTTCCCCAGGGCAGCGGCAGGGCCTGCACTTCCCTGCAGGGCCTGGGTGCTGCTGCAGCACTGCTCAGGGGCTCTGTCCTTCTGCGGCCAGGAGTCGATTCCGGGGCAGCCAGGCTGCACTGGGTGACCCTCGCTGACGCGTGGAGGAGCAGGGGCGCTTTGCAGAGAATTGTTGGTTGGTTGAGGAGCCTTGTTGGTGGAGGCCATCCTTAGTTCTGAGCTGAGGCTGTCCACAAGCCACATGGAAGGCTGCTGGACTGTGAGCGTCAGCTCGGAGCTGGCCTCCGCGTTCCCAACGCTGCTGGAACTCTCTACCGAAGGTAAGGCTTTCCAGACCCCCTTCCCAAGGCATCACACGGGGCTGTCAGCTGTTTGTTAGTCCAAAGCTGCAGTTCCTGCCCTCTGTGCTTGGCTGGATGTGGCTGGGGGCCACTGCAAGAGCCCTGCCAAAGGGTCCCGCTGGGCTCTGGGGACCACGTGGCAGCCAGGTCCTGAGACTAGAGCTGCCCAGAGCCCCTGGGTTCTGTGATAGGGCAGTCCAAGGCCAGGTTTCCTTGGGAGAGGGTGTTTCTGTAGAGTCCAGCTCTGGGAGGAAAGATATCCCATGTCCCAGAGGCTTCCTATGTCCCCATTTCCCCTTGGGGCTCTGAATAAGGCTGACATCGGAGGAAAGCCCAGCTCCGTAGCCATGGTGGTGTTTTTCTGCATGTGCCTGTATCGATCGCTGTCTGTGTGAGGAGCTTGCCAAGAGGTTGTGAAGAGGCTGGCCTGGAGCCTTACTTGTCTTTTCTTTCCTTTGCAGAGATTGTGGCGGTCTGGGACGCTGTGTCTCAGTACATCCTGGAACAGATGAAGCTGGACAAGGTGGGCTGGTGTCCTGGTGGCCCTCGCCCTGGAGAAGGGTTCAGTCCTGCCGGGAGCCTGGGCCCCACAGAGCAATCCCTCCCTGAGCACCACAGCAGCACGATGAGCCCAAGCCAGGTGCCCAGAGCGGCTTGTGGGCCAACTGGGAGGGAAACCCGTGGCCAGAGCTGCCCTGAGCAAATGTTTGGCACACACAGGGGCTTCGCTCTGCCCTGCGGTCAGAACGGGGAGAGCAAAGGGAGAAATGGGTGGGGGGTTTTCTGGCTGTGCCAAGGATAATCCGTGGCAATCAGTCCCAGGCTTAAGCCCTGTGCTGTCAATGCCTGGGCTCTTCTCTAGCCAAGGGATGTTGGGAAATACTATGCGGAGGTGACTGTATAGCAGGGACCACAGATGTTTTCCAGAGCTTTCCAGAGAGACCCATCTCACCCCCCTGTCCATCAGGAGTGGGGAGCGGGGAGAGCAGTGACCCCACGCTCCTGATGTTCGTGGCTTTTGCCGCCCCTAAAGTACACGCTCATCAGTCTTTCTGTCTTTTCCCTGTGCAGGGAGTCCTGGTTCCGGGACTTGGGTTCTTTGCTGGGGTCCAAGAGCAATTCCACAGCAAAGAAGAGGGGCTTTCAGTCCGAAGACCCGTCTTCGAACTGAACATCGGGGCGCTGTGGCTGCCAGACCTCCAGTCTCCCAACGACATCATCCCTAGTAAGAAGGCAGCAGCCACCTTCCCCTTCCCACCCCACGTCCGGCCGGCTGTGTTCTCCCTGCTCTTTGGAAACGGCCAGGAGCAGCAGAGAAGTGTCTGCAAAGCTCGGGGTGCAGCGCGAGTTCCTCCCGAAGGAACCGTAGCCCAAGAGCTGTTTCTCCAAAGGACCTTTTCTGTGGGATTTGGTTATGAATGCTGCATGGGCTGGCTGTGGCAGTGAGGATGTGCCTTCTCCTTGCAGACGATGTCAAGATTGAGCCGCTCAACTACCAGCAGCTCTCGCGAGCCTCCAGCGTCCCACTGCACTTGGTGCCGCGCTGCATGCGGGAGAGTGTGCTCCTGTACTGTCACCTCCTGAGGAACAAGACGCCCGTCCCGTTCGTGTTCAAGAACCTCGGCGTTATGACCTGCCAGGACAACTTCCTCTGCATGAGGTTCTTCTGCAGCTGCGTTGAAACACTGGAAAGCAATGACACCGTCCTTGCACTGATGCACACCGTGAGTTGAGAAGGTTGTGAGGTGCGCCGTCGGATCACCGCTGGCCAGCCTGGACGTGGCAGGCCAATCAAAGGCCTTTCCCCACGCTTGCCCCCACGGCTTTCTCCACGGGCAAAGGGATTTCCTGGATCTCTGCCCCTGCCTGGCAGTGCTCTTGCACGGCCTCACTATTTTGCCATCCTGCTCCTTCAGAGCAGAACAAAGCTCTGATGTCCACAGATGAGGCTTTGGTGGAGAGCAGCTTTCTCTTGGCATGGAAGCCAGGCTTGCTTCCTGTAAACAAGAGCCATGAAGAAATGTCCTTGGCAAGCTTCCAGCAGATCTGTGTCCCTTTGCAGAGACTCTGGATGGAAGATCCTGCTGACTTCGGGCCAGAGACCGCCGCCCGTGGGATCCGCGTGTTCCCGAAGTGAGTGCGTTTTCTCTGCAGCTCTTAGCTGGCCAGGAGACAGGCTTCCTTCCCACCTCCTCCTCTGGGACGTGCCCTGCTGGGTCTCTGTCCTCAGCATCCAGTTGGGGAGAAATCCTGGAAAGTCTGGCTCCTGGTTAACTACTGCTGCTTTTCGGCTGTGTGTGTCTCCTCCTGGAGTGATGGGGATCGCGGTTGTGTTACTGGTGCCCAAGCTGTCCCGATTCCCCTCAGAGGGAACGGACTGCACATGCAGAGGAATTTAGGCTACGTGTGCTGGTTTGGCATGGCCAGGAAGGAAAAGGGTGCCATGCTTTGCATAGCACAGAGATAAATACCGCCGACCAGCTACGTGGGGTAGGAGGTCATCCTTCTTCAAGGGTTGTCACTCTCTGTTTCCAGGTTTCAGCTCACTGTGGAAAAGAGCAGAGCAGAGGCTGCTGCAGACAAGAAATCCACAATAGAGCGGAAGATGAGTAGAGGTGAGGGAGCGGGTCCCAGCTGTGGGGAGGGGGGCCCTGTCCCATGCCGGGTGGCCAGATCCAGGTTCACGTGCCATGCCCGTGGGGCTGCTCTGAAGAACTTCTTTCTCTCTGCCGTTCCAGGGGTCTCTGCCGGCAAGCTGCTGCCAAGGCGGAATACACTTACCCCCACCATGCTGCAGCGCGAGCCAGGTTCAAGGCAGCAAGAGTTGGCGAAGGAGCCTCCTACCAGGTGAGGGCCTTGGGTGAAAAGAAGGAGATGCATGCGCTCATGTAGGAGCGGCCTCCCCTTCTGAGCTGCCAGCTCTCGGCACCCAGAAAGGCTCCTGACACACATGTGTCCCGGGGGGGCCGTTCTCCCCAGGGACAGCAAGCACACAGCACGATCGCCTGAGGCAGACACAGCAGCTTCATGTTCTACCCTGGTCCCCGGTCCCTGGGGGAGCTGAGTGCTGATCCGTATTGACGGCAGAAGCTCTTCTCCCTTACGGGGTCTCTCCACGTTGTGCCAGAGCCCATCTTTGTTGTTGTGGGAGCACAGGGAGACCAAGGTGCCCCGGGCTCCTGCAGACTCCTCTTGTGTCTGTTTGCAGCGCACTCCCGCCATGTGCAGGCAGCTTCCTCAGGACAAAGAAAGGAGGACAGAAGGAAGCATCTACTGCACAGACCAGCGCTGCACTCCCTGCCACCAAGGAGTCTAAGAGAATGCTGCAGGTACTGGCTCTGCCTTGCTGCAGGGACTGTGCTGCTTGAGACTGCACCAATGACGGAACGGTAGAATCATAGAAAAGTTTGGCTTGGAAGAGACCGTTCTGATCACCTGGTTCCAATCCCCTGCTGCAGGCAGGGACACCTGTCTCTAGACCAGGTTGCTCTAAGCCCGACCCAGCCTGGCCTTGAGTGCTTCCACGGGGACGGAAGCAAAAGCCTCTGTGTGTGCAGTGATCTGGAGCACAGCCACCAGGGTGCCATCATTTCACATTTCTGTCCGCTCCTTCAGCTCCTCTTCAATAGATGGAGGGTGCTGCACACCTTCCCTGTCTCTTCTCACCTCCTGGCCTGCCACCTGCCACAGCACACACAGAGGCCGTGAGAGAGGAATACGGCCTCTGAGCCACGTTTGCCACGAGTTGTGGATCCCTGGCTTTGGGGCCCGTAGTCCTTCAGGGGCAAAGCAGTGCCGACAGGCTGGCAGAGGAGAGGAGCAGGAGCAGGGAGCTGAAGGAAGGCCCCAGGGGCTGAGGCTGATCCTGTATGCTGCTGTGTCTCTACAGGAGCTCCAGGAAGTGTCTGCGCTGTGGAAAGAAGCAGACCACACGTGGCCTGTGCACCAGCAGCAAATAAAGCGAGCACAGGCAGAAATGGCGGCATGGGAAGGCTGGAACGCAGGGAAGGACCAGCGTCCGCCCCAGGTACCATCAGGGATCGACCCTGCTGGCAACAGCCACTGAGCCAGGGTGCGAGCTCAGCAGGGCGCAGGGGGTGGGAGCGGGACGGGCGCCGCGCAGCATGGCAGGGGCTGGCCCGCTCCTCCTGGGAGGAGAGCTTGGCACAGCCCCGCAGGGAGAAGGGAAGGGCGGCAGGAGCCGTGGGCCGGCAGGGCTGAGTCTCCTGCTTGCCGGGGCCTGCTGCAGGGCCCTTGGCAGAGGGCGTCTGGGGAACAGCCCAGTGCTCCCAGCCACTTTGCTGACAGCATCTCCTCTTTGGCAGCTGGTGGCCAGGGAGAGCGTGCATGTTCCGCATCCTCCAGCCCAGCCCAAGAGACAGCAAGTGGGAAGGAGATGGAGGAAGGACGTGGGTCCTGTGCCCGGAAGTAAAATGGGGACAGCGACCAAGCTGGCACTGCATGCTGAGTGAGTGTGTGTGAGCTCTGCCGGCTGCCTGAGGCTCTCGGGGGGCTGTGACTGCAGCTTGGGGACAGGCACGGCCCGGGCCAAAAACTGCTGGCGGGGTGCAAGGCTGGGGACACACAGGGGGCAGCACGGCGTGCGGGGCCGGGTGAGGGCAGAGGCAGGGGCGGCTCAGCAGAGCCAGAGGGATGACTTTCTCCTCCTGTTGCAGCCTCCTTTCCCCGCAAGCAGCTCAGGTGCTCCAGAAGTTGGAGCCGCACCTCCATCAGCAAGAGGCTTTTGCCAGCACCGCAGAAAGAAACCGGCAGAAGCTGGAGCTGAAGCAGCAGCTCGCCAGGTGAGCTCCATAGGCAGCAGATCCCGAGAGCTGGGCTGGAGCCCAGCCTTGCCTTGCCTGCGCTCAGCCCGTAACACTCCGCGCTCTGCTCTTCTCGCCTCCCTAGGGCTCGATGCTCACACGGCTCCAGAGAGGAAGGTGCAGCCAACGGTGGTGACCGCGGTGGAGCTGTTGGCAAGGGGGCTGGGAAGTCGTCCAGATTTCCACCTGTGAATGGAAGACTATAGAATCAAAGACTGGTGGGATGGCCTGGGTGGAAAAGGACCTTGAAGATCGTCTGGTTTCAACCCCCCTGCTGTGTGCGGGGTCACCGACCAGCAGAACGGGCTGCCCAGAGCCACATCCAGCCTGGCCTTGAATGCCTCCAGGGGCATCCGCCACCTCTCGGCCAGCTGTTCCAGCACGTCACCACCCTCCTTGTGAAGAACTCCTGCTAACATCGAACCAGATTATCCCCCCTTTCACAGTTAAAACCACTCCCCCTTATCCTACCACTATCCAGCCTCGTCAACAGCTGTTCCCCCTCCAGTTTACATCCTCCCTTCAAGAATTGGAAGGCCACAATGAGGTCTGCCCGGAGCCTTCTCCTCACCAAGCTAAACAAGCCCGGTTCTCTCCACCTTTCTTCACAGGAGAGGTGCTCCAGCCCTCTGATCATCTCAGTGGCCGTCCTCTTGATCCAAGAGCTCTGCATCTTTCTTGTACCGGGGACCTCAGTTTTGGATGCAGTATTCCCAATAAAAATGAATTGGCTTTATTTCCACTCAGTCTGCTGGTGTCGTGTCTGTCGCCATCAACTGACGTGAGAAAGCTGGAGCCGTGCTTTGAGAGAGCAGTTTGGGTGGCAACGAGAGCCGCTGCCAAGGCCCGGCAGGACCATGCTCTGCAAGAGCGGGTGCCCAGAATGGCAGCTGTGCACATTTCCTGTGCAGAAGTCATGTGTCCCCTTGTATCCCCATAGTTCCCTCCCAGCAACAGAAATACTGTGGCAGAATTGTCTTGCGCCCAGCACCCAGACTCTGCTGGGCTGAATTCAGCCTGTGTGACACGTGACAAATTCTTGCGCCAGGGAAGGGAAGGGGACAGGAGGGAGATGGTGTAATGGAAGGGAAGAGAAGGGAAAGGGGGGGAAGACACCACAAGGGAAGGGAAGGGGACTGGGGGGAAACACAGCAAGGGAGGGGAAGAGAAAGGGAGAGACTTTCTTCCCCCACAAGGGAAGAAAAAAGAAGGCAATGGGATCGGGGGGAGATGGTAGAAGGGAAGGGAAGGAGAATATGCCAGAAAGGAAGGGAAAGAAAAGGGACCAGGGGAGACAACACACAGAATCATAGAATCGCAAGGTTGGAACCTGCAAGATCATCCTGTGCAACCGCCCTCCCATCACCACTGCTACCACCAGCACTAAACCACATCTCGCAGCTCCTCATCCACACTCCTGTTGAACGCTGCCAGGACGGCGACTCCACCACCTCCCTGGGCAGCCGTTCCATGCCTGACTGCTGTCGAGAGAAAAAGCTTTTCCTCATCTAACCTAAACCTCCTCTGCTACAACTTGCGGCCGTTTCCTCGGGTCCCGGTTGTCACCTGGGAGAAGAGGCCAAAGCCCTCCTCACCTCAACCTCCCTTCAGGAAGCTGTGGGGTGCAGTGAGGTCTCCCCTGAGCTGCTCTTCTCCACACTGAACAACCCCAGCTCCCTCAGCTGCACCATTCTTGATATTCTTGATATTTTGATCTTGGTCTTGTTGAACCTCAACAAAATCCATCTGTGCTGGGCATTCATGGTTCTCCATTGGCACTCTGGAGATCACTCCTCTTGGAATTTCTTGTGAGCCTACAACACTGGTGTTGGAAATATCCAAATAGTTTTCCAGGACGGTTTCTCTGATAAAGCAGATTTTATTTGCAATTGCAATGGCGGGCGTCCTGCAAGGTGGAGCGCACCCAGAAAACAGCCTTACATCTTCTAATCCCTACTGCCTAATGCTGATCTCTTTCTCCCCTGGTTCCTCATTGGCTGAGTACTGCAGGTTCACACTCTTTTAGTTCACTTTTTTGATCAACTATTTCTAAGGATAAGTTACAGAATACAAATACACTGTGTTCTGCTTCTTCAAACCAATTGCCCTTTTTAATATCTAATGCAGAAACAACATTCCATTCCCACACTGGTGAGCACTTTCCAATTATCTCTGATTATCTTTTTCAATGTGACAATCTTACTAGCCTAACTTATCCGTATAGTTATTGATCATCCAATACTTTACGACATCTGCATGCTTATTGATTGTACCAACTGCAGTGCACTTACAGAAAGTAAGGCCTGGCACCCAGCACGTCCCGGCTCGCTGCGCCTCGGAGGTTCTCCTGGCTTCGGTTCCCAGCGCTGCGACCCGGTGAAGAAGGATGCTATGGGGGACCATGTCAAAAGCCTTACTGAAGACCAGATAGATGACACCAGTGACTCTTCCCTTGTCCATTGATGCAGTGACACCATCATAACAAACCACTAGTTCTCTGCTACATGGGTCAACACAGTGGACTTTAGAACTTGCACTGCATGTCCAAGATGAGTTTTTAAAGCTCTGTTGGCAGGCAATGGAAGTAGCCACTCTTCACAAGAAAATGCAGCTATTGTTTGGGTTGCTGAGATGGACCAAGGGATTACTAAAAGATGTCTTGTTGAGCAGAAGCTGGATTTTGCATTCCTTGGCAAGTTCCACAGGCAGCATGATTTAAGAAGAAGCATTTGAAATCTCCTGGAATTAAAATGTCTTAGGGAAGATCCTAGAGGTGAACTAGGAGTTCAGGTCCAGGAATCCTGCCCTCTACATGCATGATGGCTAACTGATGCTTCCATGGAAAACTTACAAGATTAATGCGAGGTGTTGGATTGAATGACATTCTGAAGAAAACAACTCCATCCCTAAAACATAGCATAGGAAGTTCTGCAAAAATGTGCATAAGAATTTCTTTACGCTGAGGGTGACGGAGCACTGGAACAGGCTGCCCAGGGAGGTGGTGGAGTCCCCTTTTCTGGAGATATTCAGAACATGCCTGGACACCTAGTTGTGCGACCTGCTGTAGGGAACTGCTTTGGCAGGGGGTTGGACTTGATGATCTCTGGGGGTCCCTTCCAACCCCTACAATTCTGTGATTCTGTGATTCTGTGAAAGTATTACTTCCTTCAACCCTCGTCTGCCTGACAGCTCTACAAGGCGCAGAGCTCAGCTGCACGAGCAAACAGCGCAGTCTGGTGCACCAGCTGGGAAACACACTTCATTCCTGAGCCAAACAGCTGGCAGTCCAAGTGCCTGCACCAGGAGCAGCACTGTCCTGTTAGCCCACATCCAACCCAGAAAACAAAAGACACTGTTCTACAGCCAGAACGGAAACTGAGGTTTAAACTGCAGTGTGCTCACACAAAGCAGTACTGCACTCATTGCTGCTCACATGGCAGCAGAGGAACCCCGGTGTGCCTGACAGCTCTGCATTCTGCAGAGCAAAGCTGCATCAGCAAACAAAACGCTACCGGGTGCAAACGTCAAGACACGGATCTCTTGTCCCTAGAGGGAATGCACTCAGCTCTGAGCACCACCACTTACACACAGACTTCTGTCTCACTGCTGCCATCAGCTGTCGCTTTTGGCCTCTCTGATGCTTCCACCATGGTTACTGGACATCGCTACAGCACTGCAGCCACTCAGAAGTAACACTCAACATTCATTCCTCCATCCTTCATGGCAGAGGACTGCAGAAACTCACTTTTGCGTGGCAGTGAGGACGGCCCGTCCCCATCGGGGGACCCCAGGGACCCCAGGGGGGTCGGCAGCTGCCAGGCGCTGCCGGATCTCTGGCAGCCTGCTGGCTGCTGCTCCCAAACGGAGGGAACCGCGCCGCACTGCTTCTGAGGAGAGAAAGGAAGAAACGTCAGTGGGGACGGGCAGCCAAGGTTTGCAGAGAGGTTCCTGATCGTGCCAGAGGGGTATCAGAGTGCTGAAACATTATTTATCACTAAGGGAAAATACAGCCTGAGCCATGCCCATGCCATTAGCCCAGGCTGTCAGAAGTGAGCACAGAACCCAACCGGTTATTCAGAAAGGACCAGTAGGTCTCCCCCTGCTCCACCCCTTCCCCTTGAGAATGAGAAAAAGGAAGAAAAACCTTGCAAACACCCCTCATAGAGCAGGAATTGGAGCCGCGGTCGTCTCCGTGCTGAGACATGGCAGCTGAAGTCTCAGAGGAAGCCCAAGTTCAGATGGCTCTCCCACAGGAACTTCCCCTGCTCCTGGAAAAAGCTGGCTTCACTCTTCCTAAGAGTGCCTCGATCCCCGAGTTCTCCTTTAGGACAGGAACTTTGTAGGAAGTATCAACAAGTGAAAAGTCGAGGCGGGGCCTGGCAGCAATTTACCAGGGGAGTGATGGCATTTCATCATCCTTACCAAAACATGGGATGGACTCTCAACAAGAACCCATTTCCCCCAGGCTCTGCTGGAGCTGGGAACTCCTCCCCAGCCCAGCTTTCCTGCTGAGACACCCCCTGGCAACCAGCCAGCACCAAGTAAAGATCAGTATGGCCTCATCGCTGTCAATGGAGTCCCAGGGGAACTAATAGGAAGCAGTAGGGATGCCCATCTGTATGCCTCAGGGCTGGTGTTCACAGGGCTGATGCATTTCACAAGGATGCACTCATCTCCCGCATTGTGATCACTGGCAAAATTATCCAACAACACTGACCCAAGCTGGGGGCTCAGTGGTGACATACAGGGAAACCTGCTGTGCTGCAGCGTGAGCCTCCGGTTCCGCTGCTGGGCACCGCCGGGCGCAGCCTGGCTCCGTCCTCTTTGCATCTCCCCGCAGGGACCGATGGCTGTGATGGGATCTCCCTGAGCCTCCTGTTCTGCAGGCTGAGCCGCCCCAGCTCTACAGAATCCCACGCCAAGCATTCCCCAGGTAGTGTTGACTGAGGAGGGGAGGGGACTGAGGAGCGGAGGGATGGGGCTGCTGGGGGCAGCGCCGGGACACAGCCCTCTGTGCTGCCCCGCAGGTGGGCACTGGGCTCTGCGGGGGTTTAGTGCTGCGTGAATGACTGCAAGCGGAGGCGTAGGAAAGTGAATATAAAACCTTTAATAATTTAATGCAATGTAACCTAATTGAACATCGTGTCAGATAATGGAGCAGTCCAAGATGACGTCGGTGGACAGCCCAGGTTTGGAGGGGCAGCGCTGGGGCCGGTGCCGGTGCCCCTGGAGCAGCGCCGCTGCTCTCTGTGCCGCAGGGGCCGGCGAGGAGCCCGGGGCTGCAGGGAGCCTCATTTGCGGGCCGTGGCCGCGCCTCAGCTGCGCCTTCTTTGCGGGCCGCTTTCCGCAGCCGCTCCCGCTGAGGCTGAGCCCGGCCGGCCTCGCCTAGCGCCGCCGTTTGTGCCGCGGAGCGTCCTGGCCCGGGGGCAGCTTCCTCTTCCCGGCCGGGACGCTGTCCTTGCGCTGCTCGCGCCCTCTGCTCCTGCCTTTGCTGGCGCTGCGGGCGGGCGCCGGGCACTCGGCCGGCTCGGTGCCACCCTGGCGGCGGCTGTCCGGCACGCGGCAGGAGGTGCAGCCGGGCGGCAGCGCCAGGCGGGCGAGAAGCACCCGGGGCTGCCTCTGCTTCGCCTCCTCCATCAGCCGTGCGGTCTGGGCCGAAGGAGGCACGCGAGCGTCCAGGGGCGTCGGCAGCGCCAGGCGGCTGAGAAGCACCCGGGGCTGCCTCTGCCGCGCCTCCTCCATCAGGTGCTCGCGGAGCCGAGACTCAGAGGATGCCGGCTGCCCTGAGCACGGCTCCCCGAGGGGCCCGGCGACAGCCTGCGCCTCTCTGCTGAGCTGCCTGCCGCTCGTGGGAAGGTCGGGGGCCGCTCCGATGGCAGGAGAGGTGCTGAGGCTGCTGGGGACGGCTGGCAGTGGCGGCTGGGGGACCTCCGGGCAACTCGACGCTTCTGGAAAAGCAAAACCCCCCCAGAACGATGACGGCAGCCTTCCCACAGCCACTCGGGGCGGACATCCGCCCGCCGCCGCTGCGGCCCCTGCACTCACCAGCCATCCAGGTGAGCAGACTGTCGATGTCCTTCTTGTCCCCTGGAACAGCTGAGCTGGGGGTCCCTTCTGGAGAAGGAAGGAAATCCCAAAGGGTCAGGGCCAGCTTTCCCACAGCCCCTCGGTGCAGACATCCCCGCCTGCTCTGCAGCCCCTCAACTCACCGTTGCTGAGCCACGCCAGCACATCATCGATCTCCGAGGTGTCGACCGGGATGCCTGCGTTGGATGTCAGTTCTGGAAAGAGCAAGAAGATCCCCACAGGGGCAATGCCAGCTTTCCCACCCCCCGTCGGCGCGGACGCCCACCCGCCCCCTCTGCAGACCCCAGACTCACCGCTGATCCACGGGAGCAGATCAGCAACGTCCTCCGCCATGTCTGCGCTCGCTGTCGCCGCTGGAAAAGCAAGAACGTCCCCAGTGAGGCAGTGCCAGCCTTCCCACAGCCGCCCGGTGCGGACAGCCTGCCGCCCGCCCTGCAGCCCCCAAACTCACCACCTGAGTCCAGCGCCGCGCTGCTGCAGCCGAGCGGAGCCGCGGTGGGTTGGGGGCACGCGTCGGTGGGCGCTGGGTGCCCCTGGCCCTCCGTGAGCACCACGGCATCTGCAAAGGGCCCCGGCGCCTGCTGCCAGCTGGCGGGCAGGGTGCAGGGCGCGGGGAGCCCCTGCTGCTGCGCTGGAGGTGCTGGCGGAAGGACGCGGCGATGGGGGTCCTGCAGCGGGCAGCCGCCTGCGGGCTGCGGGGGCTGCGCATGGAACACGGCCCCAGGCCACAGCCCCATCGGCTGCGGGGGCTGCGGTGTCCCTGCCTGCAGGGGATGTCCCCAGCGGTGGGCAGGGGCCGCGGGGGGAGCCGTCCCTGGGCGCAGCCCCCAAGGTGGGAGCTGACGCACAGATGGAGGCGGCCCCCCGGGTGGGAGCTGCGCTCCCTGTCCCCAGACATGGGGCACCCCAGGCCAGACCTGAGGCACCACGTAGGTGACAACGGGGACGTAGAGGGGTTGCAGTGTCACCAGCGCTGCTGCGTTGCCAAAGGTGGGCTGCATTGCAGCAGGCCGATGGTGGCACAAACAATCCAAAGAAAGCGGCGTCGGGTGTCGGAAGCACCGTCAGCGTCCGTGAAGGGATTCTCTCTGTGGGGAAATGCCCAAATGGGCGCTGGGTGAGATGTGGGGCACTGGGAGCAGCCGGAGGGCCGCAGTGCCAGGAGCAGAGCAGCCTGCTGCCTTACCTGCCAAGGGAGCTCGAGAGTGGCAGCGGGGGGTTCCGTGACCGCTGAGCTCAGCCCCTCTCCCTGAGCTCACAAGAACTCTCTGTGACACTGTCACAGCACGGCTCTGCGCCTGCCCCGTCCCCAGCGCTTGCTGTGGCTGCTCGCTGTGGCCTTCCGTTGTCTCAGTGGAGATGATAAACATGATGGAAATTAACTTTCTACGTGTCCGGGTGGCGATGGGACCAAGGGAATGGTTTTAACGTGAAGGGGGGGATTGGGATTCGAGGTCAGGGAAGTTCATCCCAGGGGGAGCTGAGGCCCTGGCACTGCTGCCCGGAGCGGCCGTGGGTGCCCCATCCCTGCGGGTGCACCCGACTCAGCTCCCATTGCAGGGAATGGAGACGAAGGCAGGGACGTGGCTGATGGCACTCCGACTCCCGGTGGCATCGCAGGGCTGCGGTGCTTGGACTCTGAAAGCCACCAAACTCGCACTGTTGGCTGCCTCCCTTCACACATCCGCCTGTCACAAAGCACAGGGGCTGGAAGGGAGCTCTGGAGATGCCCGCAGTACAACCTGCCCCCAGAGCAGCTTCCCTGCAGCACTTGCACAGGAGAGTCTGCCTTGAGCTGGGAGCCCAGCACTCACCCAGTGCTCCACACGTGCCCCGTGCTTTCTGCGGCCCTCAACAGCCTCCCAGGGCCACCCGTCCCCCCCCCCCCCCCCCCCACCAACACACCCGATGCTCAGTACGTGACCATCTCCTTCCCCAGGCACAGAACGAGGCGACGCGGGGCCGCGCCCGGGATCCCCTCGAGCCTCCTCTTCTGCAGGCTGAGCCGCCCCAGTTCTCCCGGAATCCCACCGCGAGCATTTCCCACGCGGCGCTGAGGAGGGGAGGGGATTCGGGGGGACGAACGGGGCCGGCGGCTGCAGTCCTACGAACACGGCCGTTTGTGCCGCCCCGTCCTCACCCAGAGCCGGGCAAGGGGACGGGTTGGGAAATCGGAGTTGCAGAACGGACAGCAGGCAGAAGCGGTGAGCAACGAACGCTCAACGTTTAATCGTTTAACACACAGAGCGACAAACAGCGCCCGGCAGCCCCGAGGCTCGGGGCAGGCGGCGGCACAGCACCGCTCTCCCCGCACGGAGCCCCACGGCCGCGGCCGCCATTGACGGAGAGCCCGGGCTCGGCCCCGCCTCCCCCGTTCTCCCATTGGTCGGCCCGCCGAACGGGGCGGGCACTCCGCGCGGGGTCCTTTCCGTGCGCGGTCGCGCCGTCATTGCGTCATCAGCGCGCGTCCCGCATGGCCCCGGCCCGGCTGCCGGCGGCGCTGCCCCGCGTCATGCGCCTGCTCCGCTTCCAGCGTCCCGGGGCGGCCGAGCCCCGGCTGGGGTTGCAGGAAAACGAGGGCGGGGATGTGGTCGATCTCAACGAGGCCGAGCCCGCGCTGCCCCGCTCCATGCGGGCCTTCCTGGAGAGCGGCGAGCACGGGCTGGCGGCTGCCCGCAGGTGGGGGTCCGGGGGTGGTAAACGGGTCCGGAGATGGGCGAGGCGCTCCGGAGGTCGGTGTGGGGGTCGCGAGGCGGACTCGCGGATCCCCGAGGTGCCTCCAGGGCGGCAGAGCGGGTATCGGAGTGTTGCGCTGTGTGCTGGGGTCCCCTGGCGGGTGCCGGGCACCGCGCTGCAGTGTTCCGGTGCCCCGAGCCGGGCGCTGAGGCCCGCAGGTGGAAGCCCGGTGCCCCCCGCGCTCAGTCCCGCCCCGCAGAGCGCTGGCCTTGGGCCAGCACCGTTTGCCCCGGGCGGGATTGCGGCTGTTGGCGCCCATCGACGACCCCGAGAAGGTGATCTGCGTGGGGCTGAACTATCGCGACCACTGCCTGGAGCAGGACGTCAAGGTGCCCAAGGAGCCGCTCATCTTCAGCAAGTTCCCCAGCGCCATCGCCGGGCCATTCGATGACATCGTGCACCCGGCCGAGAGCAGCGTGAGTGCCTGCGGGCCCTCTCCCCCTGCAGGGTACGGCCCGGCCCAGCCCCCCTGCACGCCATCTTCTCCCCCAGGAGGTGGACTGGGAGGTGGAGTTGGCTGCCATCATCGGGAAGACGGGGCGGCACATCCAGGTAACGCTTTCTCAGGGTGTGCTGGGATCCAGCCCTGCTGTATGCCCCCATCCCGTTGGCTGAGTGGGTCCCTGTGCCTTCCCCCCGCCCACAGGAATCAGAGGCTATGGAGCACATTGTAGGCTTCACTGTGGCCAACGATGTCAGTGCCCGGGACTGGCAGATGCGAAGGAATGGGAGGCAGTGGCTGCTGGGGAAGACTTTTGACACCTTCTGTCCCATAGGGCCGGCTATCGTCACCAAGGACTCAGTGACAGGTGGGGACTGGGCAGAGAGGGGGTCTTTTTTTCCAGCTCCTTAGGATGACACATCTCCTCTGCAGACGTCCACAACCTGCGCATCCGCTGCAGCGTCAACGGGCAGCTGATGCAGAACAGCAGCACCAGCCAGCTTGTCTTCAGGTTGCCCCAGCTCGTCGCCTGGGTGTCCCAGTATGTAGCACTGGGGCTGGGGGGGGGGCAGCATCCTGGTTCTCCAGGTGCTGGGGAGACAACCAGCTCACACCTCCTGTGCCTCCCAGGTTTGTCACGCTGCGCCCTGGGGATGTCCTGCTGACAGGAACCCCTCCTGGCGTGGGGGTTTTCAGGAAGCCCCCCGTGTTTCTCAAGGTGAGCACCGGGTGGGGTCACTACATAGGGCCGGGTGGGTCAGTGTGGCAGAAGAAGAACAGTTCCCTCTGAGGTTAGCACTTCAGCTTCATGTGTTCCCCTCCCTGTCCCTTGTCACCAACCTCCTCAGCAACCCAGATTTCCCCTTTCTGGGTTCCCGGCTCCTGCTGGAAGTAGAAAACCCTGCCACTGCTCTCCCCCTGCAACCCCCTCCCCCTCCATCCTCTCTGTGGGGATGAAGGAGCTGCCAGATGCACGGGGCTGCAACATCTCCTGCCTTTGCAGCAAGGTGACGAGGTGCAGTGCGAGATTGAGGAACTGGGCACCATTTGCAACAAGGTGGTGTGAGGACCAACCTCCACCTCAGACCTGCCGTGCCTTGCCGCGATGGCTCTCAATAAATCCGCACCAGGAGACAGCTGCTGCTCCCGGCTTTATTGCTCTGCAGGGTTGGTGGCTACAGCTGCATGAACTGCTCAAGGAAGGCTCGCAGCTTCCCCTGGCCCTCGCTGGAGCTGAATGGCTGCACGAGGTGCAGAAGGGACCCCAAAGGGCTCTGCGTCTCCTTCAGCACCTGGGGGGTTGGGGGTGTCACCGGCAAGACTGCTGATGGGGATGGGGGCAGAGCCCCCCCCACCTACACTCACCCCTATGTTCTTGAAGCTCTGCAGTGTGCTCAGCACCAGGCTCCTGGAGGTGCGCATGGGGCACTCTGGAAAAACAGACATCCTCAAAGGTGCCCCCCACCCCTGTTACACCCACAGCCCTGCTGGGGTGGGTGGACCCCCAACATCATGCCCCCGCTCACCCAAACCGTCCTCCTCTGCCAGGAACTGCTGCAGTGCACATGCACACATTGCTTCTGAAGGGAGAGCAGGATCAGCATTGGGGTGGGGAGAAAACCTCAGTGCCCCCTTCACCCCACGGCACCGCAGCCCCCTCCAGCTTCAGCGAGAAGCTGAGTTACGAGTGCAAGTGTGCCTCAGTCTCCTCCAGAGCTGAGTGTGGCTGATGTGGGAGCAGAATGGGTGGCCCAGGGTCATATGGGAGGTTCAGAGGGAGTCCTACCTGTCTGGGGCCAGCTGTGTTGTTCCAGGAAAGCCACTGCTCGCACATAAGTCGCCAGCACAGGGCTGAGGAGGTGACAGAAGAAGAGGAGGAAGCCAGGTGAGTCTTTGGGCTCGCGGATCTGGAAAGGAAAGAGCCAGATTTTCAATGAGTTTGTTAAGCCTCAGTGGGCCAAGGTATCATAGGGCCACGGAGCAGGGAGCCCCTGCATACCCTGAAGCAGCGTTTGCGGTGGCTGTCATCGCTGTCACTGTCACTGAAGTCCAGGTCGGTCCAATGCAGAGTCCTGCCGCATCGCCACGAGGACACATCGCAGAGATAGCGCTCACCCTCCTGCACAGCAAAGCTTTGCGCTGGCACTGCATGTCCTCATCCCCTCACCTCTACCCAGGGAAACCTCCTGATCCAGGGAGCAGTGGATTCGTGCCGCAGTCCCTTGTTCTCTTTCCAACCAGGACTGGAGGGCACCCACCTCTTCAGCCTCCAGCAGCCCACACAGTGTGAGCTTGTCCAAGACATCCTGGCTCTGGCAGTCAAGGGGCTGGCAGGGCTGCAGGGAGAAGGGGGTGGGCAAGGAGCCGCACAGCCACCTCCATGTGCCATGGGCAGCCCTAGTGCCACCTGCATATACCTTCAGCCCCAGCAGGTTGGGGGGCAGCAGCTGCAGCAGCGCCAGGATCTTGCGGTGCAGCTCGTCCTCACTGAAGGTGATGCTGGAGGGGCAGGGGGCCTCCCCCACAAAGGGCAGCAGCTCCAGCAGCAGGGCACGGATGGCACAGGCTGTGGGCACAGCACGGTGAGCAGCATCACTGCTGCCCGAAGCAGGGACCCCCAGCACCCTACTGCTCACCTCCCACCGCCTCACTGGCAAAGACGGGCACAAGTTGAGCGCTGTGGCGGCTCAGCTCCCACTGCGTCTCTGCTGAGTCCTTGACGACCACCATGACATCACCCAGGGGTGCAAGATGGTAGAGGGTGAGGTGGGCTCTGAGCAGGGCCAAGCTGTGCAGCACCAGGGCACGGAGCTGCCCCGAGAAGCTCACATCATGCTGCCGTAGCAGCGTCTCCTCCAGCAGCCACGCAAAGTCTGCCATGAGCTGTGAGAGCCGCACGCACTGCAGGAAGAGGGGGCTGAGCTGGCCAGGAGCTACAAGAGGCAGGCCGGGAAGCTTGCTCCAGCAGCAGATGAAGCTGGAACCCCAAAGGGCTCTGGCCTCACCTTGCGGTGCTTGTGCAGCAGCAGCGCCGCTGTGATCCCCACAGCTGTGACGGCAGAGCACGCAATGGCATCTGCGAGGAGCAAGAGGCACTGCTGTTTGCGCCCTGTTTCCAGCGCAGGTGCTGCCGTGCAGCAGCCACACATGGAAATGAGCAGTAATTGCAGCACGGCTGCTGTCAGAGAGGAAGTGGGGACACGCAGTCCTTTGTATTCCCATGCCCTCCCCAGAGCTGCGTACCGCTCAGGGCATGCAGGCCCAGCTTTGTCACCATCATTTCCTCTTCTGCCTCTGAGCTGGTGGTCATTCTGTGCTCCGGACCATCCGCCCTGCTGTAATCCGGCTGTCTGGAGCCATAGGAAATAGAGAGGTGGGAAACCGGGGCTGGGAACACGCAGTGAGGGCAAGGCACTGCTCCCCCTGGCTTACAGCACACCGAGGATGGTGGGCAGCAGCTCCTCCAGTGGCTTCCCCATGGTGCTCCGACAGATGAGGCTTTGTGCCACAAACTCCTGGAGAGGAGCACACAGCCCATGAATGCCTGCAGCCCACAGCTGACTCATGCTTTCAGTCCCTCCAAGAGCTGCCCCACGGGCTCATGGAATCTCTGCAGATCCCCCCAAGCCCCTCTGTGCAACTCCACAAGGCTCACACAGCCCCAAGCCTTGCTGCACCATGTCCCCCGGGGACCGGGCTGGGCTCTGGGAGCCAGCTGTACCACAAGAGCCCCAACTGGACCCCACCACTGTACCTGCAAGGAGAAGGGCTGGGCCAAGTCCACACGAGCGCAGCCAAAGCATCGGCACAGGGCTTGGCACGCAGCCCAGAGGCAGGCCCCGAGGCCGAGGGGCTGAGCGCTGTGCTGGGGGGAGAGGGAAGGCAGCATTACTGGAGGGTGACAGGAGAGATGTCCCTATTCCCAGCTGCGGCGCCGTGTGCAGCCTCACCGCTCCATTCGTGCAGAATCTGTCGGGCGTCTGGTCGTAGGCGATGCCCACAGGGACCAGGAGGATGTCAGGCACCGCACCATCCTGCACAGCGCGGCACAGTGGGGCCAGCCAGGCACGGGCCGAGCTGGAGAGGTGCCACAGGGCACAGGGCTCCTCCAGGAAGATCACCAGAGGCTGCTGGCTCCTCAGCACCTCCTCGACATACTGGAGCAGAGGGGGAAAGTTGGGGCTGACAATGGCACCATAGGGGCCTGTGGGAGCTGCCACCGCCCATTGATGGGGGTTTAGCGTGGCCTGGCAGCTTTGCCCTTCTGTCTGTGAGCCCGAGATGCCCCCACTGAGTGCCTTGAGAGCTTGGGGGGGCAGGAGGGAGGTTCTTCCTCCACTGCAGGGGTTGGAACTTGATCATCTTAAACCCAACCCAACCGTTCTCTGATTCCCATCCCAGCACTGGGGGAATGCCAGGGTGAGACGTACCGAGGTCAGCACAGCTGCTGGGAGCTCTCCATCCTGGCCACTCAAAGCCTGCTCCACCCTCGTGGGCAGGAAAACTGCTCCCAGACAGCCAAGCAAGGCCCTGCAAGGGAAGAAAGCACCATGAGCGCCAACCCCGCACAAGGTCGTGTCCCCATTACCAACCCTGCGCCCTTCCCGCTCCCTAGCCCAGCCTGGTGTGCGCAGCTGCATCCACCCCATGTGGGGAAGTGGCCGCATGCAGCCGGATGAGGATTCCCTGTGCCTTACCGCAGGCGAGGGCTGCAGGTCAAGTTGCCCACCGTCACCCTGGGCACCCCCAGGCCCTGGGAGAAGAGGAGGAAGGACAGAAGCAGCCCGTCCACCTGGGACTTGTGGGTGGAGAGGAAAACCAGCGGCACGCCGGGCTGTGGGGATGGAGGATGCAGTGAGAGCTCGGCACTGCGGTGTGCCAGGAGCAGGCAGGCAGGTTCCTCACCGTCCTGGCAGCCCTCAGCACCATCTCCAGCTGCCCCCGGTGCAGCTGCACGCTGAGGAAGAGGCGGCTCAGAAAGCGAAGCAGCGCCCAGCAGCACAGCCTGCGGGGAGGAGAGGCACAGCACAGGGGTGAAAAGCCGTACGGGGCCACGGGCTGCACCCAAAGCCCTCCAAAACCTCAGCCAGGCAACAGGACAGCACAGCCAGGGCTGTGAGCACATCCTTTGCCCATCACTGCACCATCGCCTGCCTCAGTTCCCCCCATCTGAGCACCAAACAGGGCTGTGCAAGATGGCTGACTGCACAGCATCGACTCCTCATCTCACTGCTCAGCTCCCACGAAGCAAATAAACAGCTTTACTATAAATTAAGTTAAAACATTAAAGGCTGGATGTGACAAGACCACCTCCTCTGTCCCGGCAACAAAAGCTGAAGTCAATTACCCCTCCATCTCCCTGTCCTCCCGCACGCCACTTACGGGAAGGATCCGAATGCTTTTATCCCCAGGGTAATTTCTTCCCTTTAAATACTTCAGACTGCTCAGAGGGTTCTTTTATTACAGCTCAATCAGACAAGCAATTAGGCTACAATGCAACCTTTAATTGCCAATTTCTCAATGACAGGAGGTAAAAAGGAAAAAAAGAGAAATAAAAAAAAAAGAGCTTAGAAAGAAAAAATTCCTTTTGCTCTGCTTTGCTTTGCTTTCCATCCCCCCCAGCGTGGCCATTTTCCCCCTCTTTGCCACTCTGGTGTTGCACTCCGCTCTGCAGAGGGGACAATATCCCCACTGAGCTGTGAGTCGCAAACTGCCACGTGTGGGGCTCTGCACAAACTGAAGGAGGAGAGCGGGGCTGGGAATGGCCCACCATGGAGCTGGGACCCCCAACCCGGGGCCCGCACCCACCTGAGCACAGGGAGGCAGAGCGGGGCCTGGATCCTAGCCAGGATCCCCAGGACTTTCTCCTTGCACCGCTGCTGGAACTCGCTGTCCCTTCTGCAGCTGCGTGCCTGGCTGGCAGCGACATCCTGCACCCTGCATGGAGATGAGGTGGGAGCAAGGAGTTAACGCATTTTTCAGCAAAAGACAAAAAACCAGTTATGGATTACAGTAATTACAATGTACCGGCTGCCAAGCCTGGGCTGTACAATTAGCAGTGACAAGGGTGGAGGTGACAGGTGCCTGACGAGGCCGCGTCACCCAGCACCGTGTGGCACGGAGCAGCCCCCGTGCGAGGACCCCTGAGGGTGGCAGTGAAGGGGAGCAGAGAGCCGACGCCACGCACCTCTTATTGCTGCAGACTCTCTCCAGGAGGTCTCTGGGGGTGTCGGTGAGCACTTTCCAGCTGCCCACAGCCAGGATGCAGCAGATCCGTCGCACCAGCCAGCCCCTGAACCTGGGTGAGACGAGCAGTGAGCACCATGAGCGCCGCAGGGCGCCGGCACTGCCTCACCTCCCGCACAGGCTCCTGGCGAGCGTTTGAGGCTCTGGTTCCCATCTTACAGCTGGGGAAACGTGCTGGGAACATGCTGGCGGCTTTGGGGTGCAAGGGAAGCTCACCAAAGCTGCTGCTGCCAGTGACAGCCCGCTCAGCACACAGCCCCTGCCAGCAGCAGCAATGCTCCATCCCAAGCTGGGACTTCCCCAAGTGTGCCCCACATCCAAGCTACACAAACACCACCAGGTCAGAGAGGGCTGAGGCTTTGAGCTTTGCAGTGCACAGGAAGCTGGCGCGAGGCGCTCGGGCAGCGAAGCAGGGACTGATACCTGGGTCTGCTCTCGCTCTCAGCCTCCCATCTCCAGCCTCTCTTCAGCATCCCACAGCTCCTGAGGCACACTGAGCGGAGATGAATTATTCAGAGAGTTTGAAAGCTGGGAGCTGGGATATTTCAAGCAGAAGGGAGCGTCGTGACCCAATTTGGAAAAAAACACAGCGCAAAACTGCCAAACCACTAGGGACTGCTCCAAAAAGGAGAGGAACCACGGGAGTCCAGCACCTCCAAAACCAGATAACTGCACGAGAACAGCCACATCAGCTCCTCAGCATCACAGCAGCTGAGCTCCAGCACTGGGCCGTGGGGAGGAGGACACACATGGGGGCTGGGAGCAAGCTGGCCCAGCATGCATGAAATCTTCCTTGCGCCGGAGTCCAAAGGGAGAACAAACCCCCCCTTGCTCCTTCTCAGGCTCTTCCCAAGAGCTTCAAGAGTCCAAGTGTTGATTTCAGAACTCACAAACCCTCGACACTGCGGCTGGCTGCCCTTTGCTGTCCTCTCTGTGACAGCAGAGGAACAGAGAAGCCCTTTCCTCTCTGCTGTTATTAGCGCTCTGCACTTGGAGATGTGCCTACAGTTCAGAAAATAATTAGCATGACTGCTTTCTGGACTAATTAGTGAGCAAGTGTGACAGAGAGGCATCCCCACGCTCCAGTGCCACAGGGTAACTTAATTCGGACAAAGAAAGAACAAAATTTGTAACGCCTGCTCTGCCCAGCACTCCCAGCACAGGGCTCTGACCTCACCTGGTGTCCTCCTCCGTCACCCAGGTGGCACTGCGGAAGCCGAAGGAGGAGAGACGAGCGTGGTAGAAGCCATCCTGGGAGCAGAGCAAGGCGTCAGACTTGGCTTTGGCTGCGGGAGACAGCAGCCCTTTGCTGAACCTGGGCTCACCCAGCTCCTCGGGGTGCAGGCCTGGCAGCAGCGCCTCAGGAGCGGCCGGAACCAGCGCCGAGAGGGGATGAAAACTTCCACTCTTTGCCCCGACTCAGAGAACCAGGCCTTCATCTGAAAAAAGGCAGAAATGTAAGGGGAGGGACAGCACAAGACATCCTTCACCTGGAAATAATGACGTGAGGGTGAATGGTGTCCAAAATGCATTCCCACCGGGGAGAAGGGAAGCCCCGACGCTGGGCTCACTGGGGAGAAACAAAGGTGCTGTTTGCTGGTGCCATCCCCCCGGGCTCACCACCAACGTGTTTGTGCCACCATCACTGCAGGAGTGTGGGGACCCCCAGACAGGGGGCAGGACCAGCACCCCGGGGTGCTCACCGTGCGCTGGTAGCAGCTGGCCCTCACAGATGTGTCTGGCACGGCCCGCAGAGCTCAGCTGAGGAGACAGGAACAGTGAGAGCTGGGAACACGGGGATGTGCGCCTCGTCCCCGTCTCACAGCACAGAGAGCACAAGAACAGCCAGGAGGCCTCTCCCCCAAATCTGGGATGGGAGGGCAGCAGGATGGGACCCACAGGGCATAGGAAGGAGGTAGTTGAGCCCCTCTCCACTGCAGGCACCTGAAGGGAAGGGAGCTGCTCCTCGGTGGGGAGATGAGTTGTTCTCCTGCAGAGGGAGAGGAGGGGGAGAGAAACAGCAGCCAATGCACCAAAAGCCCTTGGGAAAAGAATTTCTTCTTTGTAAGACAGCTCCGGCACAGCTGCAATTGACTTTTCCCTCCCACACTCTCCTCCCCCAGGCAAGTCGATGCCAATCTGTACCCAAAACCCCCACGGTCTCCCCGAGATGCAGAGATCCCTCCATCCCTGGGAGGGTTGGGGGCACCCAGAGCGGCGTTGCTTTCCTCCATGCCCAAACCCAGCCCCACAACAGCAGTCCCACAACAGCAGCCCCACAACAGCAGCCCCAAGGGAAGGGTCAGGCAGCAACTACCGCCCAGCATCCCACTGCTGGAAATCCCCAAACACGGAGAGACCCCCAAAAAACACGGCAGGAAAATAAACCACAGCAGCTGCTTGCTGCCAATGAGGTGCAAGGTGCCAGGAAGAGCAGGGCGACGGCCTGGGCTGCTCAATGCCCCACACAAACCCCTCTGGCAGAGCTGGCGCAGCCAGCAGGGCTGCAAACACTTCTTCCCCCGCTTCGCTTCAGAGCAGAGATTTTAAAGTCATTTCATTCCAGGAATCAGCACTCAGTGAGACTCCTGGCAGCTCGCTTGTAGAAAAACAACCTGTTTGTCAACTGCAGCACGGGGAAAACGGGAGAAACGGGGGAGAAAAGGAGAAGCGGGGCCGACGTCAGCGTGCGCTGGGGCACCGGGGGGACCCGCAGGGGAACCTGCCCGGGTTCGGACAGGGTGCACGGCGGCGCAGGGAACCGGCCGGCCCGCCCTTGGGCCGTGGGGCCTCGCCTGCAGCCGCGCCGTGCCGGAGGGGCCCCGTGCCGTGCAGCTGGGGGAGAGGGAAAGGAAGCAGGCGGATGGGGTCGGGCCTGAGGTGGGGCTGCTGGCACGGGGCGCCCCGCGGGGCCTCGGGGGTTTCCCCAGCGCACCGGGCTCCTTCCCCTCCACGGGGATCCCGCGGGTTTGGAAGCTCACCCAAAGGGCTCTGGTTGGGGTCCCACCCCGCACGGATCCCTTCCACGCCGCACGGATCCCGCAGGGCCACGTGGGAGGAAGCGGCCCCAACGGAGCCCGAGGGTCCGCAGGGCCTGGGCAGGGGCCGCACGACGCGGGCCCCAGTCACACAGGCCCCAATCAATCACAAAGCCCCCATACGGAGCCCACTGAGCCCCACACGTCCCGTGCGGCCCCACGCAGCCCCACCCCGGCCCCCGGCCCACCTCAGCGCAGCCCGGCGCTGCCGCCCCGCTCCGGCCCCCGGCCATGCGGACCCCCGGGGCGGTGCGGGAGGCGGCGCTGGGGCGGGGGGGGGGGGGAAGGATGAGGAGGGAAAAAAGGCAGGAAAAAAAAAGTGAAGGGGCAGAGAATGGCGCTCTGTCGGCCGGGCCGGGCTCTGCGCTGCCCCCCTCTTCCTCTCTATTCTCCCTCTTTTTAGGCTCTCCCTCTCTTATTTTGTCCCTTTCCCCCCTTTTTACCCCTTTTCCCCCGTGCCCATCTCCATAGGACTGTGTCCAACCCCATAGGATCGTGCCCACCGCAATAGGATGAAGCCCAACCCCATGGGACCGTTCCCATCCCCATAGGATGCTGCCAACCCCACCAGACCATGTCCAACCCCACAGGGTCATGCCCATCCCCATAGGACTATTTCCCATCCCCGTAGGATGATGCCCAGCCCCATAAGGTCATGCCCAGCTCTGTAGGCCCATTCCCATGCCCTATAGGATGCTGCCAACCCCATAGGACCATTCGCATCCCATGTCAGCTGTGGGCAAACACAGCTTCATCCCCTGGAGCCCCACAACCGCAGGCTGAGCCCCGGCTGCAGCTCATCACACCCCACATCCCCCCAGGTCTTTTTTATGATCTTCCATCTTTGGGATTTGTTACAAAAATTGTTAAAAAAAACATAAATGGGATTTGTTGAAATGAATTTTACATGGTCTCTCTTTGCAGCAAACCCAGCTTAGGGGGATTTCAGTTAGTCACCATGACAACCCGGTGCTGTTCTGGGGAAATTACTGGGGAGAGGAGGGCTGTGAGCACCGGGGAGTGGGGAGGGGACAAAGTAAAGGGGCAGTGATAGGGCAGAGTGGGCACTGGCTCTGTGTGCAGGTCACAGGACGATGCCCAGCCCCATAGGACCATACCCAAGCCCTCAGGATAATGCCCAACCCCATAGAACCATGTCCAACCCCACTGAACAATGCCCAGCCCTACAGGGCCATTCCCATTCCCATGGGACCGTGCTCAACCCCATGGGACCATGACCAGCCCAAAAGGACCATGGCCATCCCCAGAAGAGTTTGCCAACACGACAGGATCATTCCCCTCCCTACAGGACCATTCCTAACCCCACAGGACCATGCCCATCCCCATTGTATGTGGCCAGAGCCATAGGACCATTCCCATCCCCAAACCCGTAGGACAATGCACACCCCCACAGGATGTTTCCAACCCCACAAGACTATGCCTGACCCCATAGTACCACTCTCAGCCCTATAGAACTGCTCCCAACCCTATGGGATCTTTCCCACTCCACAGGGCTATGCCCAGCCCCACAGCCCCCCACTGATACGGGATGTGGGGAGGCAAGGGGAGGGGCTGTGGGGACTGCTGGAAGGGGCCCAGCATCTCAGCATGCAGCAGCCACGGTCACACGCCCTCTCCCATGCAGCCACCACCCCAGCACTGTCCCAGCACGCTGGGTTGGACTGACGGCTGAATTGGGATGGGGAGGGAAGTGTCCAAGCTGGGAAAAGCCTTCCCAAAGAGCTCAGCCTGGCTTTGGGGCGGCCAGAGGCCACGTCCCTGGTGGGACAGGGAGGGGGCGGAGGGCCAGCGCTGCTCTGCCACTGCAGGAGCAAGATGTCCCCAGCTCTGTCCCAAGGGGCTGAGCTCAGTGTACACGGCCCCACGTCCTCTGCTTGTCCCTGTCTCTGTGTGGGGGGACTGGGCTTGGTTCCCTGGAACACATGGGTCAGGGGTACTGTGCAGCATCATGAGGGGCCCCATAGACCAGGGGCGGTGTGGAGAACATAGGGCCCACAGAGCCCATAGGAACGTGGGGACATCACACCCCACGTGGGCTCCTTCCCCTTCTCAGGCCCACAGAGCCCTGGGGATTTGGGATCCCACTGATGTGGGGCACAATGTGCCATCGTGAGTCCCAGTGCATCAGCGCAGGCTGTGACGTGGGGCCGCAATGCCCCGCTGTGTGTCATGCTGCACCACGGCTGTTCGTCACACGCTGCTGTGGGTCACCACACACCACCGCAAGTCTCCACACGCTGCCACCATTCACCATGCACCACCATAAGTCAACCACTATCCACCAGTACGGGTCGTGGTGCGCTGCCAGACGATGGGCCACAGCATGCTATGGGGTGTCATACACCATCCTGAGCCACAACAGCCGGGTGTGGGTCACATCACACCAACAGAAACCGGCACCCCACTGGCACAGCTCACAAACACCCCCTGACCAGCGCTGTATCAGACACCCGAGAATCCCCTCCCTATCAGTATGCCCAGCAGGGCTTTGTCCCCATCACAGTTTGGTGACCTCGGGGCCATGCCCCAGGGGAGGGAGTTATTCTCCGGGGGGGCTGCGGGGGGGGATGATGTTTTTCTAATCATTTTCCTGCCATAAATACCCGACCCTGTGCAAACATTCTGTTCCCACTCACGCCGCACGCATTCCTCCGTTCACTGCCTGCGACCTACGGCTGCAGAAATGGCTCAGCCCCACGGCTGCCCCTGTCCCCACAGATCCCCTGCAGCGGGGAGAAGACAGTGAGATGGTTCCTTTGACTACAAAATACTTTTTATTGTTAAAAGGCGGCAGCCGCCGGGATGTGGGGCAGATGGGGAGAAGGGGGAAATCACCCCTGATTTCATGGGAGGCACAGCGTGTGAGGTGGGGAGAAACGCCGCCCCCCAAATGCAGCCCCCATGCATCGCTGTTGGGATGGGAACATGTGGGGCTGCGTGTGCCCCAAACCTGCAGGGCGGTGGGAAAGGGGAGGAGAAATAAGGAGGGGGGCAAGGGAGAAAGGGGAGGAAAAGGGGAAAAGGAGCAGCGGGCAGCGGGAGGGGCTGAGTGCCAGCGAGGGGCTGAGCCCCTCACCACGCCGTGCGGGCGCTGCGGCGGCAGAGGATGCGGCGGAAGGCCCTGCGGAAGTCGCGGTTGAAGGCGGTGTAGATGACGGGGTTGAGGGAGCTGTTGCAGTAGCCGATCCAGAAGAAGAACTGGAAGACGCCGTCAGGCACTTTGCAGCGCCGTGGGCAGACGGCGCCCAGGCTGTAGAGGAAGAAGAAGGGGAACCAGCAGAGCACGAAGACGCCGATGACCACGGCCAACACGAAGGTGAAGCGCTTCTCCCGGTTCGCCTGCGCCTTCCTCCGCCACGGAGCCGGGCTCAGCGCCGGCGCCAGCACCACACGCCCCGTCCCAGTGGCCACAGTGTCCCTGGGCCGCCTCGATGGCTGCGGGGAGCCTCCAGGCACCGCTGCCGGCTCGCTGGAGCCCAGCAGCGAGGTCCTGTCTGCAGGCAGGGGCCGGGGGCCCAAGGCGTCCCCATGGGCGGCGGGGGCGGTTCTGGGGGGCCCGGGGCCGGCGTGGGGCTGGCGGCGGTGCCGGCGCCGGGCGATCAGGTAGATGCGCAGGTAGACGAGGATCATGATGAGGCATGGCGCAAAGAAGGAGCCGACGCTGGAGGAGAGGATGTACCAGGCCTCCTCATTCAGCTTGCACTGCGGCCGGCCACCTGGAGCCGCCTTCTTCTCGCCCTTGTAGACCAGCGGCGGCAGCGAGATGGCGGCGGCGATGCTCCAGACGATGCCGATGCCGCACTTGACGCGGCGCGGCGTGCGCTTGGCGTTGTACTCCACGGCACGGCTGACGGACCAGTAGCGGTCCAGGCTGATGGCGCAGAGGTGGACGATGGAGGAGGTGCAGAAGAGCACGTCCAGCGCCAGGTAGATCTCGCACCACACCTTCTGGAAGTACCAGTAGCCCAGCAGCTCGTTGGCCAACGAGAAGGGGATGATGAGGACGGCCACCAGGATGTCGGCGGCCGCCAGAGACACCAGGAACAGGTTCTGGGGCGCCCGCAGCGAGCGGCTGGTCAGCACGGCCAGGATCACCAGGGTGTTGCCGGCGATGGTGAACAGCACCAGGAAGGTGATGGCGGCGGCGATGGCGGCGGCAGCCTGCACCGAGTAACCGCCCGCGGGGCTCGGCATGGCGAGGGAGGGCGGCCCGGCCGCGGGGAGCGGCTGGTGGCACTCAGCATCCCTCGGGGGGACAGGGGACGGGGCGGGAGGACGGGGCGGAGGAGAGCTGGGGGACGGCGGTCCCGATGGGCATGGTGCTGCCGGGCTGCCTGCCTGCGCCCTAACCCAACCTATCCTACCCCTAACCCTGAACCCAAACCCTAACCCTAACCTTGCACCCTAACCGCAACCCAAACCCCGCGCCCCAACCCAAACCCCGCGCCCCAGACCCACACCCTTCCCGCGGGTCTCTGGATGTTTCCCCGTCCCCGCCCGCCGCTGCCGTTACCGGTGCCGGTGCCGCCGGGCTCTGTTCCTGCCGGCGCCGCCTCCCCGGGTTTTATTGGGGACGGGAGGGCTCTGAGCTGCCCCCGCCTCCGGGGCGGACCCGGGGACACGCGGAGGGACCGGGAGCTGCGGACGGCCCGGCGGCACTTCGGCACTGGCTGCGTGTCACCCCCCGGTGCCCCCCGTCCCCTTCTCACCGCCCCCAGGGCTGCCATCCTCACCCCAGGACCTCCATGACGCCCCATCCCTTTGCCAGCGCGTGTCCCCCTGAACCCCCCCGGCTCCCGTATCCCTTTGGGTACCCGAGCCACAATTCCCCACTGCCCTGAGCCCCCCCGGCCCCAGCCACCGCTAGGGCTGCTGACCCCAAACCTGCGCTCACTAGTTTCTATCCCAGCCCCGGGGATGCTGCAGGGGCTGCCTCCAGCACAGCCCTAGGCTGAAATGTGGGCTGAGAAAGGGAGAAGTGAATGAGCCCCCTTCCCTGCTCCCTTTCCCCTCCCAGACAGGGAAACCACCAGCAAGCCCACACCAAGAAGCCTCAGAACGCCAAGGAGTGTTTGGTTTGGTTTGGTTTTATTTTCCTTTTAACAGCTTATTTTGGTACATCCATGCACAGCCACTCCCTGGAGGTGCTGAGGAGGGCTCCCCAAACAAGAAGCTGCTGCCCACCCCAGACTCAGCCATGGGTGCCATCAGCACCACGGGCAACCAGGAGCTCCAACGCAAAGCCCCGGCTTTCGCACCCCTCCACGTGCAGTGAGCCCTGCAGCAGGTCGAAACCTGAAGTTTCCCACCTGTGTTGGGTAAGGATGGGCAACGCCACGCATCTGAGCCAGCAAGGCAGGCGTGGAGCCCAGCGTAAGGCCGGTGGCTAACAAAACCCAGCTGTTTTATTTTCTCCTACATTGCCAGATTTCAAATCACAGACCCATTTAGGCTGGAAAACTCTGCCTTGAACACCGTGTGACCACCAGCCTGACCACCTCTACTTGGAAAGGGTCAAAGGCTGCAGTTTGCACCTACAGCTCCAAGCGACGCCAACAAACTGCAGGCAGCACACAGGGATGGACACAGCCACCCTGCTGCCGAACACTCGCTCTGCAGCGCCCTGCTGACTGCCTGGCTCCCCAGCTCCCCTCCCTGAGCTGCAAACCCACACAGAACTGAGCCCCTCACTTCAGATCAGCCGTGCCTCTCCCTCCAGCTCAACCTGCAGGTCACAGATGCCCGTGAAGTTTATCTCTTCACCAGCCCGGCTGCTGCTGATGGACAGAGGGGACGGTTGCTGGACGCCATCTGCTGTGGACACCGGGCTTCTGCTCATGTAGGTCTCCAAGGATTTCAGGAGCTGCTTCGGTTTCTTTTTGGTAGAGAACTCCAGCTCTGCAGAGGTCAAAGAGAAGCATCAGAACAGCATGGCCAGGATGGCGCTGGGGAAACGCGCTCCTGCATAAGGTGCTACCAAACATCAATGAGCTTTATTTCTTGAGTCCCAGCGTCTCACCGCATCCCCTCCCGCAAAGCTCACAGTTACGTTTGCTCACAAAGCACGAAAGGCTGCTTGTCACCCCTCAGCGGAGCTCAGCAGCAGAAGCCCTGAAACATCCCTGCTGTTCAGTGCAATCTGCTCCACGCACGTAGCGTGCTGCAAACAGAGCTTAAGCAACCGTGTGCCACAGACATCAGTGAGCTGTGAGAACCAGAGCACAGCGTGGCACGCAAAGGCGGCAACACGCACCTCTGAGTGCAGGGGGCTGGTTTTAATATTGGAGATGTCGAAAGGGGAAAAAAACAACACGGCACTGAGGTCAGCATCACAGCCGTACGAAACCTCTGTGTGCAGACGAAGTGAGGCTGCGCGCGCAGCCCCTCATCTCCACAGGACCCCACAGCACGCTCCAGACACACCGGGCTCCTTCCCTGAGCCTCGGGCCGCCGTCCCAGCCAGGATCAGGGGGCAAAGCGCGGCGCAACGCACCCTTCAGGAGGAAGCCAGAGTCAGCGACGGTCTTGTGCTGCGACTTCCACACTCGGTAGAGCTGCAGGAACGCCGCCGCGTACAGGTCGTTCAGCACGGCGATGACTTGCCGCCTGCGGTTGCACTCCCTGGCCGGGGGCAGCGGCCTCAGCCAGCGCTGCCCACCCCCCCCAGCCCAGGGGAGGCCTTTGCTCCTCCCGCCCAGCTCAGGGCGGCTCACAGCTCACCTGGAGAGGCACTCCTCCCTCAGCGCCTGCAGCACGAGGCGGGTGATGTTCACAGACATGATGCAGAAGGGGAAATTCTGCAGGAGAACCAGCCTTGCGTCAGCTCTGCTGGAAGGGAGCTCCTCTCTTCCAGCACTCAGAGGCGCCCTGGCCCCGTTACGCTGCACCTGCGTGGCCCTAAAGCCGTGCTTCAGTCAGGGACGGAGCAGTGATACTGTGGGTATGGGCTCAGATGGACGTTGTGTCTCCAGCCAAGCTCCCATCCAGGCTCAAGAAGTAAGCTTAACATGCAAACTTAGGGTACAAGCTTAAGACCAGCATCTCAATTTAAAAAAAAACTTTTGATCCAGGGAAGCTCTGTTCATCAAAATCTTTTTCCCAGCAGAAAGCCAACCCAAGTGGTTTGGCTTCCGCCCTTATCAGCACTCCTCAGCACTTCAGGGCCCTTCCTCACCTGACTGGTGGGAGGAGGACCACACGACATTCGAGCTCCTCAGGCTGATGGAGAAATCACTGACAGACTGCCACCAAGCGAAGAGCAAAATGCCAAACCCTAACTCTGAACAGCAGCAGGTTTTCATTGCTTACCTTCCCCTGAGCTTTAGAAAGAAAAAGGTAAACACCACAGCAGAGGGCGAGCAAAGAAGGAGGAAGGACGTGCCTGTGTCTCGTGTTGGGACAGCCTGAAAATCTCTAGAGCTAGAGGAAGCATCTGAGAGTCCATCACGAAGTACAGCATTTGCATCAAGCCCAGCATCCCCGTCCCTCGCAGGTCGGTCCCTGGATCTGCACCTGGAAAAAAGGGCCTCTGATGAGCCTGACACCCCTCCTCCTTCCTGGGCCGCCTGCACGCAGCCCTGGCATTTCACAGGTGGTGGAACCACATTTATTATCCTTGGCAGTGGCAGCCTGGGGCAAAACTTTTGGGAATCCACCATGCAGGCACTGAACTGCGCCACGGCCTATTTCACATGGGCACCAGCAGGCAGTGAGCTCCCACTCACACGCCTGTTTCCATAACACCTCAAGGAATTAACAGCTCTGCCCATCCCAAGGCTGAAGCCCAAAACCAGGTGTTTACTTGTTGCTATAGAGGACAGGGAGTCGTTCACCTTCTGCTGAGGGTTTCAGCCTTCATTAAGAACTGGCTTATTAACTCCAGCCAGGCAGGCTGAAAACTCGGGTGAAGCTGCGTCCAACAAGGCAGAGACAGCTTTAATCACTGTTTTCATTACCCAGCAGAGGCTGAAAGCAACCTGCGACACAACTCCAGCTCCAGAGCCCTGACCAGAGCTTCACTAATAAACCAGCCTTCCAGAGACGCCTCATTAGCCACAGCAATCGCCTGCTAATGAAGAACAATAATGGCCCCAGAGAAGCAGTTACAGCAGCTACTTCTATAGCACTGGTTGGATACGGGTAACTGTCCCAGGGGCAGCAGCTGACACTGGGCAAACCAGGCCAGATGTCGTCCCACCTGTGACAGCAGCCACATGCTTGCTCCGAAACAACAGCACGACCAGCAGCTGCACGAAGGGAAAGGGAAGGAGCACGGAGGAGAGAATGGGAACAGCAAGAGCTCTCTGGGCAGAGGTTTGTTCTTGAGGTCCCTCCGTGCTGTACCTTGAAAGCCAAGCTCCTCCCAGTGCGTGCCGTAGCGCGGGCATCCCAGCGGGGAGCAGGTCAGCTTCTTGTAGATGGTCTGCAGGATTCTCATGTGCACTGCTTGCTTATCATCCAAGCCACCTGGCGGAGGAAAGACACCGAGCAGCCTGCTGCCCTCAGCTGCCTCCAGGGGGACGTGGTGGGACAGCAACCACCACCAGCTGCAGCAGGGAACAAAACCCCACAAAAAGCTGCTTAGGGCAACAGGGAGGATGTCCTCCCCACGTTTATCCTGCTAGAGGTGAACAGAGGGAAAAAACAATGCACGAGAGGCACAGAAACACCATACAGTGCATTTATAAGTGCTGGTGTTACGGAACTCCAACATTGTGGAATTTTGCTGGCTGAGGCAGCACTGCCAGGGGAACCTTGACAAACTACAAACCAGGGGGCACAGCTGAGGATTCTCCTGGTACAAATGTGCTCAGCACAATGGGACAGCCAGACCCAAAGGCTGTGCTGGATGCAGAGCCAGGACAGGAGCCGTGGCAGAACGAATGCCACCCCAAGGAACCTGCTTTAGCAGCGGGGTTGGGCTGGATGATCTCCAGAAGTCCCTTCCAACCCTATGATTCTGGGTTCACACCTCGTTTGCTTTGGTCACTGAGCAAGGAAGGGCTGTGCAGCCCCTGCCTGGCACCATGCAGCTCTCTCGCTGGAAGCAAACACATGGAAGAGCTTCTGTGGCAGAAGAGTCAAGAGATCTGTCCTCCTCCATCACCAAACATCAGTGTGTCAGTAAAGCAAACAGGGACCACGTCCTTTGGGACAAGCACGCTGCCACAGGTAAAGAACAGACTGTGCTGTGCCTGAGACCCACTGAGCTGCTCCACATGAATCCCATGCAGGAGCAGCAGTGCTCAGCGTGACACTGCTGGGGACAACAGTATAGGAGTGGCAGTTTGGGGGATGTGAGGGAGCACTCACACTGAGCAATGGCAAGAGCCAGGTCCCGCTCGCCCTGCAGCTGCTGCTGGAGCCGGGGGGGCCCAAAGAGGAAGTGAAGCAGAGCAGCCAGGCCCTGCCTGTGCACCGTTGCTTGGATCTTCTTCTGCGGAGAGAAGGCAAAGAAATGAGGGCACATCTGTCCCCTGAGAGAAAAGCCAGCGGGTGAGCTGAGAGGGAAAGGGATCCCACAGAGCTCGGCTGAGGGAGGGCAGAAGCAGTGGGAAAGAGGAGCACAAGACAGAGCTGCCCAACTAGAGAGCACAAGCCAGGGAACAACTCTGGAGTGAAGGTTGGAGCCTCTGGTCCTGCACATACCCTGCACTCGGACAGGTCTGTGGTCTGGAAGAACTGCAGTGCTTCATTGAAGGATATGAGGGGCACAGGACCAGCTGATCTCCCCAGCAGCACTGCAGAACAGCATGGGGCAGCGTCAGCCCTGCATCCACATCAGGGCAATGAGTGCCAGAACCTGTTCTGCCTGACCCCAGAGCAGCAGCTGCATCCTGGGGAGCTGCTCTACACACCTTGGTGCTGCAGTAACAGCAAGGCTTAGGATAGTGGGGAATGAAGGGAGCCTGCAGCCAACTCCTCCTCCCAGCCCTTCTGCCCTTTCCCTAGCTCTCCTCCACCACCCCAACCAAGCCCCTCCCCAGCCCCTCTGTGAGCTGTGGCCCCATCCCACGCACTTCTGGGACCTGTACCTGACTGGATATCCTCCACTGCCTCCCACTCTTCCTGGGCGCTCCGCTGCTCCGCACTGATCCCTGCCAAGGGAAGCACACACTGGAGGCAAGAGCTGGGAAAGACCCCGAGGGGGTCACGTGCCCCCATAGCCTTTATCAGGACACTTTCATGGCATCCCCTGCCCTGCGTGCCATAATGAAACCCAACAATCCTACCCCAATGCCTACAGGAGGCTGGGAGGCCTCAGGGCTGGGATCTCAGCCTAGAGCCCTTGTCCCCTGCTGCTCCCAGGCCCAGTGCTGCTCACCCCTGACATGTGTGGGAAGGGGCTCAGGGGGCAGCGGGGGCTCCTCAGGCTGCGTGGTGTCTGCCGGCTGGGCGTTCATGGCCTGTGGGGGGAAGGCGGTGCTGGTCAGTGGAAGGCCCTGGGTTTCTCAAGGGTCCGCAGAGCTCCCAAAGGTGGCCCCAGTGGTTTCCAAGGTGGCCTACGGGAGCCCAAATGTACCCAAGGGTCCCCAGGGCTGTGTGAGACGTACCCGAAGGGGTCCCAAAACCACCTAAGAGGTCCTCAAGGGGTTGCAAAGAGTCCTCGATGCGGCCTGCGGGATCCCCAGACACCCCCAGCACGGCCAGGAGGTCTCAAAGGTCCCCAGAGAGTCCCCAGCGCGGCCCAGGAGGTCTCCAGGTGCTTAAAGGGGCCCTGCCCACCCCCGGTGGCCTCCACTCCGTAACCCCGCCCCCGATCCCTGCCACGGCTACCCCAGGACCCCCGCTGGCCCCGCACCCCTCTACCCCCGCCGCTGCCCCCTGCTCTGCCCTCTGACCCCACGCCCATCGGAAGCGGCGGCGAGACCTCCTGGCCGCGACCCTCCCGACCGCCCCGCAGTGCGCAGGCGCCGCCGCGCTGCCTGCCGGGAGCTGTAGTCCTGGAGCCGGCGGGGGGCGCGCGGGACTGCAGCACCCGGCATGCACCGCGCGTGTGGAGCACGGAGGGGGAAGAGCTTAGCGGAGAGGGGCGGGGCTTAGCGAGGGGGGCTGGGATTTGTCGAGGGGGCGGGGCTGAGGGCGGGGCCAAGCGGAGGGCTGCGGGCAGAGGCAGCCCAGAGCTGCCGGCAGCGGCATGGCGCTGTACGCGGTGCTCGTCTTCCTTCTCCTCCTCCTCCTCCTCCTCGCCGTCCTTGCCTTGTATCGCTGGATCGGGTCCCGCGGCCCCAACCCCTTCGCCGTCGATACCCGGCGCCCGCCGGCCCCGCTGATCACCGATAAGGCGGTTCGTCGGACGGTGCTGAAAGCAGGTATCTGCATCCCCGTACCGCCCCCCAGGAATGCCCCGGGACCCTCAACCTCGAGATGCCACGGGATCCCCGTACTTCCCCGGGGTTCTCCGGGTGCCCCGTCCCTATTCTTCCCCAGGATGCCCTGGGACTGCCATGCCCATATCCCCCCGAAATGCCCCTGTGCTTCCCTACGCTCCCCCAGGAAACCCCGAGAGCCCCGTTCCCGAGAGCCCCGCTCCCGCTGCTCCCGTCCCCATGTCATCCGAGCACGGATGACATTTTGGGTGTCACCCCGCACTGAGGATCCCCCATCCCTCAGCTTTCTCTCCAGAAAAAGTCCCAGAGAAGCTCGATGCCATCGTCATCGGCAGCGGCATCGGGGGGCTGGCGGTGGCCGTGCTGCTGGCCAAGGTGGGCCGGCGGGTGCTGGTGCTGGAGCAGCACGGCAAGCTGGGGGGCTGCTGCCATGCGTTCAGCGAGAAGGGCTTCGAGTTCGACACCGGTACGTGTGGGCATGGGGAGGGCAGGGGGCTGCGACCCAAACCTTTTTGGAGAGGATCTGGCCAGTCGGCCGGCACCCATAGGGTGTCGCTCTGTGGTCCCAGTGGGATGAGCAGAGGTGGATGGCAGAGCTGCCTTTGCCCCAAATCCTCTTTCTGTTGGAGGACGTGGTGGCGGTGCTGCCCATAGCAGTGCTGGCGCTGTGGCATGCCCTGCTGGCATGCTGCAGGAATGGGCCCAGAGCCCACAGCACCCCCTGCACACGCAGAGCCCCCACTGGGCTTCGTGTGCCCCTCAGCCCATACGCCATTATTTGCAGCAGCACAGCCTGGGTTTCTATTAATGAGTACTCACCTTCCTAATATGCAGTGCTGGGCAGGTGGGTTTCCCTCGGAGCACGGACTCTGCACCCCAAGTGGGGCGGTGGGGACAGCAGTGTAGGGAGAAGAAGCACCCCCAAATCTCACACACACACACACGACTTCACGCAGCGTTACTCCACAGGGATCCACTACGTGGGGCAGCTGCACGACGGCTCGCTGTGGCGCTTCCTGGTGGACCAACTGACGGACGGGCAGCTGGAGTGGGCCCCCATGCCTCCCACCTTTGATGCTGTGGTGCTGGGAGAGCCCGGCCGTGACAAAGCCATCCAGCTCTGCTCCGGGGCCAGGACTTACTTCAGCAGGCTGAAGGAGCAGTTTCCCGCTGAGGAAGCCGCCATCGATGAGTTCAAGCGGCTGGTGAAGGTAATGGGGCTGTGGGGCTGTGCTCGCAGCGCGTGGCTCCACTCGTGGCTCATGTGCTCCTTCCTGGGGGGGGGGAAATTCCTGCCCCCCTGCCCGGGGGCAGCTGTTTGGCAGCGCTACAGCGCAGCCATGTTGCACAACTACCCCAACGTGTTGCACCTGGAGCTCCTGACCCTGCTCAGAGGGTGCCCATAAGCTGTGCTCTGAGTGGGGCACGGGGGGCACAGACCCTGCAGTCCCCACATTTGTGGGGCGATGCTCCAGGATCTCCTGGGTCATCACCATTAACATCACGTGGGGTGAAAGTGGGATTTGTGCTCTGCCACCCCTGGGAAATGGGGCTGCACTGTGAGGGTGTTTTGTGGGGTCGGGTGCTCCCCTCCCCACAGTGCTGCAGATTCACATTAGTGCCATTTCCTAATAGCAGATAAAGGGAGAAATCCCATTTTGCATCCATCCCCTGGCAGCCTCACCCAGAGTGGGGGGGTACCCAGAGGTCCCCAAAGGGGTCCTAAAGTGGCCTAGGGGACCCCAAAATTGCTCAAGGGTTCCTCAGAAGTCCCCAGGGATTCTCAAGATGATCTCAGGAGTCCCTAAAGGTCCCCCCAGTGAGCTCTGCACATTGCTCTCCTCTCTTGCAGAGTGTCACTACTGGGTTCTGGGTTCTGGGTGTGCTAAAACTGCTGCCACTGCCACTGGTGCGGCTGCTGAGCCGCTCGGGGCTGCTGTCCCTGCTCAGCCCCTTCTGCCAGATGACCTCACGCAGCATTAAGGACGTGGTTGATGGCCTCACCACCAACGCCAAGCTCAGGGCTGTGTTCAGCTACATCTTCCCCACCTACGGTAAATTGCCAGGGCGCTTGGGCACACCAGAGCAAAGTTGGATCCTTTAAGAGCAAAAACAAAAGGCTTCTTATCCTCTCCTGTCCCTTCTTTTCCCTTTCCCTTCCCTTCTCTTCTCTCACCCTTTTTCTCCTTTCTCTTCCCCTTTTATCTTTTTTCCCCTTTCCCCTTTATTCTTTCCTCTTTCCCTTTTCCTTCCCCTCCTTTCCTTTTAGAGGCCCTCATTTTGCACACCAGACCTGTCCCACCTCACACCCCCGCTTTGCCTTTGCATTTCACCACCTTAATGGAACCCTTGAGGGCAGGACGCCGTGTGCTGCATCCTCTGCACCCACCCCATCCCGGGGCCTTTCCCAAGTCCTTCAGCTTCCCTGCAGACCGCAGTACCCCCGCAGGTGGAGGAGTGGCTGTCCTGCCCTGACCCAGCACTCACAGCCCTTTGGCCCTGACTTTCCTCCCTCCTGTCCCAGTTCTGAGTGACTCAGGGTGCTGGAGTGCAGCCAAGGGTTGTGAAACCCAGATCTGCGGGGCGATGCCCCAAGCACGTCAGTGCCAGCTCCTCACACGGACCTCTTCTCCTCTGCTCCTCATTTCCCACACGCATCCCTCCAGCCTAACCATCCCTCATCCCAGCCCCTTTGGGTTATGCTGCAAACCCAGTAAGACCGCGCTGTGCTCCCCTTCCAGGCGTGCTGCCCTCCAAGGCCAGCTTCTCCCTGCACAGCATCGTGTTGCACCACTACCTGTGGGGCGCATGGTACCCCAAGGGCGGCTCGGGGGAGATCGTCTTCCGCACCATCCCCATCATCCAGAGGGCCGGTGGCAACGTGCTGGGCCGGGCGCCGGTGCAGAGCATCCTGCTGGACTCCCAGGGCAAAGCCTGCGGTGAGCGACGCATCCGGGACGCGGCTCCCCCCGTTCCCTCTGTGCTGCCATTACCCTCAGCCCTCCTCCCTTCCAGGTGTGAGCGTCAAGAAGGGCGAGGACGTGGTGAACATCTTTGCTCCCATCGTCATCTCGGATGCAGGGATATTCAACACCTATGAGAGGCTGCTGCCGCCCGAGGCGCGCGCTTTGCCTGGTAAAAGCCCCCCGTACAGTGCTGGGTTTAATTGGGATCAGGGCACTGATCCCCTCTCAGCTCCAACCATCAGTGAGTGTCGTGGTAATTCCTTCCCAGACAGCGGCAAAGCCCAGTGCAGCCTGCTGGGGACTGCAGGCATTCAGAAAAGGAGCACGGGAATCACAGAACATGGTTAAATACACCCAGCCCCACACTGGGCTTGCCCTAAAACTCCCAAATGGGAACGGACCAATCAGCAAAACCTCCCCGGACAGGGAGGCACCACCGCTTTATGGCTCCCAGTGGTCCTCCCGCCCCATGGGTGCACATGGGATGCTCTCAGCTAGATTTGCAGTGATGGGGGCGATGTGGGGCTGCGCACAGCTTCCTCTCCACCCTCACTTTCCACCCCTTCCTTCGTTCCGCAGAGATTCAGTCCCGGCTGCGCATGGCGACTCACGGCGAAGCTGGCTTCTCCGTATTCGTGGGGCTCAGAGGCTCAAGCCAGGAGCTGGGGCTGGAAGCCACCAACTACTACATCTACCCAGATACCAATCTGGACCAAATGTACGTTCGCTAAGCATGGAGGAGAGATGGTTTCTGGGTGGGGACTCGGAGCCCCAGCCGCACCCCAGACCTCTGCGTCTCTCTGCAGAATGCGGCGCTACTACAGCAGCTCCCGCGACGAGGCGGCCGCCAACATCCCCCTGCTGTTTGTCACCAGCCCGTCTGCCAAAGACCCCACGTGGGAGATGCGGTACCCAGGTGATGCAGCGCTGCTGAACCTCACCAGGCAGGGATTCCTTGGCCAACCCCCAGTGCTGCCACGTCGCACTGCGGGTCTCTGCAAACGGGGGCTGTGAGTTGGTTTCATTCGGAAAGTGGGCCGAGGGCCTCCAAGCTGCTGAGCTTGTGGAAAGTTCACTGCAGATACAAGGAAGGGAGGAGAGGCTCTGCTGGATGCCTGCACCAAAGGCTTGGGACCAGAGCTGCCCCAATGTTGGTGTGAGAATGGGGATTTGGGGTTTGTGGCGCCAGGTGGCAGAGGGATGCATGCCCCAACCTTGTCTCCCTGCAGGTAAAAGCACGCTGTCCATCATCACCATGGCCAAGTACGAGTGGTTTGAGGAGTGGAAGGACAGGCCAGTCCATAAGCGGGGAGATGCTTATGAGGACGTGAAGAAGACCTTTGTGGACGCCATCATGCAGACCGTCTTCAAACTGTACCCCCACATCGAGGACAAGGTGAGGGGACACGGGGTTTGTGGCTGTTGGGGTCAGATCCCGGCTCCTGCCTGCCCAGCACACACTGGGGCTGCAGGGGTGAGGTTTGGCTGGGCAGAGGGGCACCAACCCGTCGGACCAAACGTGGCCTCAGCCACCACCCGAAAGTCTGCAAGGAGGTTTGTCCCATACCGTGCCCCATAAAAACAGCTTTCCTGAGCACGAGGCACCCCACACTGTGGCCTGCTCCATTGGGACCGCCGTGTCCTTTTGTCCCCCACAGGTTGAGCACGTCTCGGGGGGGACACCGCTGACCAACCAGCACTACATTGCCAGCCCCCGCGGGGAGTTCTACGGCATGGAGCACGACATGGCGCGCACGCAGATCGAAGCCATCGCCACCGCGCGGCCGCACACCGCTGTCCCCAACCTCTACCTGACAGGTACCGCGTCCTCCGTTCCAGGAGGTGACTCTGGGGAAGCCTTCAATCCTGCTATGAAATACTGGGATGAGCTGCTGCCACGCTACGGGGTGATGCTTGGGCCGCATCAAAGTTCCTCCGAGCCACTCAGCCCCAATGGGGGGCATCGCGTGTCCCCCAGCCCCGGGTGCAGCCTCCCCGCCTGGCACTGTTGTGCTGAGCTGGGCAAGGCAAAGCCCTCTCCGTGCTGGGGATGAAGAGGGGCTGGGATGCAGAGCTGGGGGTGGCACTGTCCCCTCTGTCTCGCAGGGCAGGACGTGGCTCTGTGTGGCTTCGCCGGAGCACTGCAGGGAGCCTTCCTCTGCACCAGCGCCGTCCTCAAGCGCAACATCTATCTGGACGCCATGCAGCTGTGGAAGCGCGTGCAGAGCTCCAATAGCAAGAAGAAGATCTGAGGCTGGGTCCCACCAGCGGGACCCCCTCCCCTCCCTGATGGCTTGCTTGGATAGCTAGCTCTGCTCTTCCCTAATGGCTCTGTGGGATCAACGCTGGTCGTGAAGCCGCTCCTGCTCCCAGCAGGGTCCCATCCCACTGCAGCTCATCTCACCGCACCGCCATGCACACTGCTGCCTCCTCCCCACTGCCTGTTTGAAGGGAAAAGCCCTTTTCCCAACACAAGGAAAAGAAGATCCTACACAACCACTGCACCACCCAGCACCGCTGGATGCCCTCCACTTGGGCTGCGAGAGGAGCATCCAGCTCCATGGGTGCTTGCCTGGCTGAGGGCAGTGAGCCCCACACAGCTGCTTTTCCCTTGCAGGCAGCAGCTTTGGTCTGAATGAGGCTGGGAAAGCTTCTCATGGTGCCTCCATGCCTGGGGTGGTGGAGGCTGAGGAATGAATCCCTCCCTCTGCACACAGAGCTGCCTGAGCAGCGTTGAACCGGTTTTCCATTTCTGTCAGCCCTGCACAATGCTCTATGCACATCTGCAATGCTCTATGCACATTTACAATGCTCTGTGCACATCTGCAATGCTCTGTGCACATTTACAATGCTCTATGCACATCTGCAATGCTCTATGCACATTTACAATGCTCTATGAACATCTGCAATGCTCTGTGCACATTTACAATGCTCTGTGCACATCTGCAATGCTCTATGCAGATCTACTCCCACGCTCCGCACCCAGTGCTGTGAGGGAGAGGCTCCAGGCTGCATTGCCCGTGCTGAGGAGCCCTGCTCCAGGCTGAGCTCAGCGGAGCAGCGGAGGAAGCGCTGTTGTGCGCCAGGATGGGTTGCACTCAGGATGGATTGACTTAAGGCGATGTAAAGCTGCTCAGAAGCAGCAGCAGCGCTTCCAGATGGGATCTCGCCATGAATGTGGCCCTGCCATGCTGTGGCACTGTCAGTTCTGCCCTGAGCGGATGTCGCGTCTGTCTGTCTGTCTGCTGGGAAACATCCGGGAGCACGACCAAAGCCTTCACCACTGCGCTGGTGCTGGGAAGGGCGAGAAGGCTAGAAATAAAACAGTGCTGTGATGGGAGCAGTGTGCCTTGCAGTGGGGGAGCAGCGGGGTGCTGCTGGCATTGGGGCTGAGCCTGGGTCCTGCGGCTGGGGGACAGCAACGTGAGGGAAGGCAGAGTTTGGGAAGGAGAGGAGAGAGGAGATGTGGTTTGGAGCCATCTGTGTGCCCGTCCTGCAGCAGCACAGGCGGCTCTGCGGCTGGCAGTGCTGTGTGTGTGCCATCAGTGGGTGCCCCAGCACCAGGCAGTGAGCACTGCAGCGCTGGCTCTGCTCTGTGGACTTCAGTCTGTGTTAAAGTCCTGCTGGGAGCCCACGAAGGAGAGGTTTTCCCACCGCCGGCAATAGGAGCGGGAGCAGCCGGGATGCAGGGGAAGCGGAGCGCTGCAGCCCTTGGCGGAGAGGCAGGGAGGGCTTTTCCAGCTGCTCCCACACTCTGCACCTTGCAGGCATCTCCCTGCAACCTGCTGCCCTCCCCAGCCCTTCTCTTCCCCAAGCTGAGTGCCCAGGGGTGAGCCCAGATCTCCTGCCCCTGTGACTCACGCCCAGATGAAATCTGGCTCCGCAGCAGCTGACAGGCATTGCCCTGCAGGCACTGCATCAGCAGCAGACGTGTCCCGAAGGAGCACCCGGCTCTCGCTGCTCCTGCCCCAGGATTTAAAAGCCTCTGAGCCCTCCGAGGGGCCACCCCAGCATGTCCCGGCCACGGCAAAGCCGGGCTCTCATCATCGTCAACACTGATTTCCACAGTAGTGATGGCGATGTGGGGCTCAGGCCCCGCAGAGGAGCCAGGAGGGAAGCCGAGAAGCTCTCTCATGTGCTGGCACAGCTCAACTACAGGGTGAGGCTGCTGCACAACAGGACGGCCAAGGAGATGGAGGACCTCTACCAGCAAGGTGAGCCCCCAAACCGCCTTCCTGCTCCCGGCTCCCACCTCCACAGTGCCCCACGTCACTGCCCAAAGGCAATTTGGGACGGATAGGGACCAACCCCCACCCACACCCAGGCCCTTGTGGTCCCTTCATCACACAGCGGGGGCTCAGAGCCGGAGATGGGCCTCCCAGCACCCTCACACAGCACTCAGCTGGAGGCTGGTAGCTGAGGGTGGCTGTGCCCCACAGAGTGCGGCCGTGAGCACGGGGATTACTTCGTGAGCATCATCTCCAGCCACGGGGAGGAGGGGGCCGTGTTGGGCTGTGACTGCAGGCCGCTGCGCCTCACCCGCATCTTCCGCACCTTGTCGGCGCAGAACTGCCCAGTGCTCGCACAGACACCCAAGGTCTTCTTCATCCAGGTAACACCACTGCTGGGCAAAACTGCACCCCATTTTGTTGGCTCCGCAGGCAGAGACAGGCACGAGCGCTGTTCTAATTGCAGACTTTGCTGCCCAGCTGCCATTCGCCACTCTGCTCTATCTTTGATGCTTTTGCTGATTCTCAGGTCACCTCTCCCCAGCTGGCAGCAGCCCCGTGCCCAGGACAGCAGTGCTTCCCCTGCCCCTGAGCGCCCTGCATCCGCCTCAACTTTCACCAAGTTTCTCCCTTCCAGGAAAGGTGACCTTGCTGGGCTCAGCCTCCCTCCCAGATGCCAGCGGGGTGTTGATGAGTTGCTAAAAGTTGCCCTCAGATTCCATGACGTCAATATTTGGGCAAAGAGCAGCGTGGGGGGGCTGGTTAGAAACACCCCACAGGAAGCGAGCCCTGGAGTGCTCCGTGGATTAGAGAGGATTAGATGAGAGTAAATAGTGCAGCAACCTGCAGCCTGGGCAGATCTCAGCAGGTCAGCTCTGCAGACGTGCAAATACATGGAAATCCTCTCGTGAGAGCAAGCACAGATCGCTGGTGGCACTCATTTCCTGCTGGAAAGAGGGCTTAGCCTGCATGCCTGGCTACAATAGGGGCCACCTCCAGCAGCCAGAACTGCAGACCAGGATGGGTGCCCTTAGGGCTGTCCCCTTAGGGCATGCTGAGTGCCAGCGTGCTGCCGCTCCTTCCAGGCAGCCCGTGAGGATCCTGCAGGCAGTGATGCAGAGCAGAAGAGGCTCTCGGAGAGGGGGCTGTGTGTGTCCTCGGGGTGGTGCTCCTCATCGTTGCCTGAAATCCCATCCTTGGAAGAAAGCTCCAACCATTGCATAGATCAGTGACTGCTGTGCTCCAAGGGGAATCTCCCCAAGAGGGCTCTGGTGTCTGCTGCTGTAATACTGGAGCCTGCAGGAACATGAGGGGAAGAGAGGCTGCCCCCCTCCTGGGGGGAGAGAGAATCACAGAACCATTAAGGTTGGAAAAGACCTCTGACACCCCCAAGTTCAAACCCCAGCACAGCCCACCATGCCCACTGTCCCTCAGTGCCACATCCCCACGGTTCTTCACAGGATGGGGGGGCACAGCAGCCCCAAAGCCCCTCTGGATCTCCCTTGTTCAGGAGCAGAGCACAGAGAAGCCAACGGCCGTGTTCTGCCTGCAGGCATGTCGGGGAGCTGCACTGGACCGGGGGGTGTTTGTGGAGACTGACGGCGGGCAGCCGGAGCCAGACAGCTTCTCAGAGTACCTGTGCATCCCCCCCAACACCGCTGTGATGTTCGCCTGCAGCCCCGGTGAGGAAACCCCCAGGGAGGGTCAGCAGGAGCAGGGTCAGCACCTGTGCTTCCGTGTTCCTGGGGGGCCATGCGTGGCTGTAGGGTCATGGCAGAGCTGTAAGGCCCTGTAGGACTATGAGGGGCTGTAGGGCCACAAGGAGCTGTAAGGCCATGTGGGGCTGTGGGAACACAATGAGCTGTAGGGCCATTTGGGGCCATAGGATCACAATGAGCTGTGGGACCATGGGGCTGTAGGACCACGTGGAGCTGTAGGGCCATGTGGGGTGGATCACAATGAGCTGTAGGGCCACGTGGGGCTGCAGGGCCACAAGTCCTCCCCTCAGCCCCCTCTCTGTGCCGAGCAGACCTCCTGCTTTGCCCCCAGCCCCATCCCACCCCCACTGCCCTCCTCTGGACGCTCACAGTTTTTGTCCCTCTGACTCCGAGGCACCCAAACGTTCCATTTCCAGCACTTCTTTTTCCCATAAGGGGCAGCGTGAGGCCCTCCCTCTTCCCTCCATCACACCATTCCTCCCTCTGCACGCCCCAGGCTACGGCGCCTTCCTGAACCCCGCGGGATCCATGTTCCTGCAGGCCCTGCTGGCGGCGCTGGCCGGGGAGGAGCGCAGCCTGGCGCTGAGCCGCATGGCCACCCGCCTCAACGCGGCCGTAGCCCTGGGCTGCCAGGCCCGCGGCGCCTACGAGGGCTGCAAGCAGATGCCCTGCTTCATCACCAACCTGCTGCGGGACATCTTCCCCTTCTCGGCTGCCGGTGAAGCCCTGCCCAGCACAGACACACAGGGAGGGACGGAGGAGGAGAGGCAGAAGCCTGCAGCCTCTTAAGGGGAAATGAAGAAACACGACAGAAACCCCGGCAGAAAGGCGCCCCGGGTTGTGCTGGAGCTGCCCAGGGTGCGAGGAAGTTCTGGGGTGCGTCGTTCCCCCATCACGATGTACTGGGCTGGACGTCACCTGCTGCCCCATGGCAGCCCAGCGCAGCGCTCCAGCGGCGCTCACTTCTCCCCCCCGCCTCCTTCATGAAAGAGCCTCAGTGCTGTGAGCTCTGCTTTATCGATCCTGTTATCCGGGTGACCCTGCACAAAACACAGGCTTTTCTTCTGAGGGAGGAAAGGCCGATGTTTGCCTGCCTGCTGCCCTGCCCGCAAGGAAAACACGGCAGTGGTGTAAAGATGGCAGCAGGCCCAAGCTGTTGGTCCTTACGATTGATTCTTCATTCCAAACCTAAAAAATAAACAGAGACCGATGGTCAGACCCGGCGGGTTGACTCAGACCGGGAGTCAGGGCACGGCTTTGGGAACGTTCACCAAGGCAAATCTCAGCTCACAACCAAAAGCTGCATCTTTGTGAACCTCCTCCTGCTGCGGGGAAGGGGAGGGTGATGCTCCATTGGGACGGAGGGGCTGGGACACCCCGTGGCCCCACGCTTTTGCTCAAGGCTTCCCCTTGTCTCTGGCACACAACCGAGCACAACGGAGCCTCCCCGCAGCGCCTGCACGGCTCACCCTGTGTGCTCAGCCATTAAATCTGCTTCGTCTCCACCCCGAGAGCCTCTCAGACAATCTGGGCTGGCGATGGTATTTCTGAACCCTGAGCAGCACAGCTCCGATAGCAGAGCCCTTCCCTCAGAGAACTTCGGGCTCCATCAGCAGGACTTCGACCCTCGGCACACCGCTGGTGCCACGGCCCCGACAGCCCCGCGCTGCAGCGTCTCACGGCACGGCCTCTTGGGGGACCTCCTGAGCTGCTCCCTCCCCGTGCACTGGCTCTGCCCGTAGCAAGAGAGCAGTTTGGAGACCCCTGCAGCAGCTCAGGGTGAAGCTGGGCATGGGGCTTGGAGCTGTTGGAGGAGCCCGATTCTTGCTTCTCTGGGAAATGACACTGAAGGTGCACACAGCAGTGCTTCCACCCCTTAGGAAGGCTCCAAAGAGCCCAACACACCATCAAAGTTTTCATTTTTAATCTCCCGTTTTCACCGTTCTGCCTCCCCCAGGCTCTCAGCGACCCAGTCAAGGTGAGAAGTAAAAAACCACACACAGCCCCCTCCTCCTCCCAGCTCGTCCTCTGCCACACTGGAGGCACAAGGGCAGAAAGTGGGGGAAAGTTCCATTGCAGGAAGCACCGCGCTGCACCTCGCCTGCCTGCAGCACCCTGCCCTGCGCTCCTCAGCCACCCGGCGCTGGGTGCTGCTCCAAAAGCCTCCCTGTGGGCAAAGCAGGGAATGCAGGCCCTCGCCTGCTGCTGACCAAGGGCCAGCTGGGTGAGAGGCAAAGCAGGCAGGAACTTTTCAAACAGCCTCCAAGCAAAAGGAATTCTCCTTCTGTTCCGGCTGCAGGGTGCTTGGTCGTGTGAGGGCTGAGCCTGCATCCACAAACGGAGGCTCTGCACAGAGCCCAGAGCATAAGCGATGATCAAAGAGACCGGAGACGGGGCTTCAAAGCTTTTACAGACACGCAGACACAGAACAGGGCTCAAAACTCCGTATTTTTTTAAACCATTTATTGACTTTACCACACAGGGGAAAAAAAAAAAAAAAGTACAAAGCAATATAAAAATTCTGGTCCTTCAAAGCAAGTCGCGTTGCACTGCAGCAGGAAACAAACTGCGCTGCTTCGCACCAGCAAGGCAGCGGGCCCAGGAGCAGCCCCACCTGGAGGAGACACGTACCCACAGACACCACCATTCAGAGACGTGCCACGGCCAAAGGGAAAAGGCTTCGCGCTCCTTGAGCAGTTTGAAACACGTGGCACAAATCCTAACAGCGTTAAGAAGGGAAAAGAAGCCCTAGGAGTCGTTCCCAGAGGTGCGAGGCAAGAGGGGCTTTGTCCCTCTCTCCCTTTGTGCTGGGAAATCAGAACACAGCTGTAGCCTTCATGGCCAGACAAGGGAACTTCCTGCCCTCGTCACCCCGCAGCTGTGGGCGGCTCACCCTTGGTGCAGGGCTGGGGACAGGCAGCCCCCCCCGGCCTCACAGTGGGGACAGGACTCCTCTGTGCAGCTCTGGGGGGGATGAGCACCCGTGTGAAGAGCCCTCCATGAGCCACAGCCGTCACTTTCTGCCCATTAGGAAAAACAAAGAAAGAAAGAAGCCAGGCAGGCACTTTACATACATCCTTCAGAAGCGCCCTGTCTCAAGTAAAACATCTTTGGAGCAAAACTACAAAAATAAGACCAGCAAAACAGCTCAGGAATCAACATGTTTTGCAGCCTTCAATACAACCAGTGTTAGTCCATCCCCGGCCCTCATTTCAGTGTCCCACAGCGAAGCTGAGAAAACAGCAATAAGCTGCTGGTGAGGTGAACATCAACCACATGAAACCTCCCAAAGCAGGGGAGCACAGAGCAGCAGGAGAGGAGAGAGGGGTTTGGGGGCTGCAGGACAAACCTGCTCACAGCAGGAGCTGCGCCTCTCCTGCTGCAGAGCTCAGCACTGAAGGAGAGGAAGAGGTTTGAAAGACTGCGAGTTTCATTCATCCCAAATGCTTCAGGACTGTCAACCACTCTGCATCATCACGACGACATTTTAACAACAGGGAACGCAGTCATCCTTGGAGGTGAAATTCGCTCCATCGCTGCAGCTGTACGGCACAGAACCTCATAAGCCTGAGCGGCTCGCTTTCACAGCATCAAACTAATTGTCCTCATTAGTGCAAGCATCTCAGCTGCGAGGACCACGCGGGAACAGAGCCACACGGAGCACAACTGCCACAGGGCAAGTGAGGGAGTCTAAGACAGAACCGAGGGTCGAAGGCAGCTCCGTTAAGTGCATTGAGTGAGGAGTGAGACGTGAAGCGAACATTGCCTTCATCATGGAGAGGAAGAAAAGAAACAAAGCCAAACAGAGTCCTTGGCAGATCATTTCCAAGCTAGTGCAATCACGCTCCAACTTTAGCATCCAAATACAATGGACAGAGAAAGAGAACGTCCGTGCCTCCAGCAGGACAGCGCTGCTCACAGCAGCTCCGTGACTGAAAGGAATCACGTGGCTCATTTTGCAGGCGGATTTTTTTTTCAAGAGGAGACGTCGGTACAGCAGATGGAAAGGCCCATTTCATTTGGACACGAATGTTCTGTCAAGTGCCAGAGCTGGCTTCTCTTGGGCCACGTCTAGAAGCCAGGCACCCAAGCGGAAACCGGTTCAGGCAGTTGAGAAAGGAGAAACACATTTTTAGGAAGTGAGAACCAAAGATTACCAAGGTGCAGGTGCAAAAGTAAAAGCATTTCCCCTTCCTCCTGCTCTCCGAGGTCTGAAGACAACAGCAAAGCTACGATTCAGTGCTACAGCAGGCAGCCAGCCGGCGCGGCCCCACCATTCCAGTCTCATCGCTGCCAAGCACCTTTCTTCCACTGAATACCTGAGGAGGAATCTAGATCTGGAAAGGGAAAAAAGGAAAGCTAAAACAATGTGAAAGATGCATGAAAGACAAGAGAAGAAAAACAGTTTCAAGGGGAAAACAAGACGGACTTTTCCAAGCCCCCCCTACCTTCTGATCCAGCCGCTGATAATCGCCGGATTTGGGCCGCCGGCCGCCCTTGGATCGCTTCCCTTCCAGGGCAAAAGCGATGATCTTTGGAGAGAGAGGCAGGGACAAGGTGAGCAGGACACCAACGACCTCCTGCAGTCTTTCTGACCTCTAACAGCTTTCTAGTGGGCCAATGAGGAGCCTCGCTTGCCTCCTTCTAAAAGCACTTGAAACAAACGTCATCGTTCAAAAGCAATAAGACTGAAAACAAGAAATCATGAGGCTTTCCCAACATGCAGAAAACAGTAAAAAAGCTGCTCCCTCTCCTACTTCAAAAACAGCTTTGTAGGAGGGAGAAAAACAGCACAAAAGATGAGCGTTGTCACTTGGGCTGCGTTCCCCCTGCAGTGCGAGTTAAAGACAAGGCTTTGGCAACCTGCTGCAGAAAACTCAGTGTCTGTGAGAAACACGGAGCAGCTGCACACATCTTTTCCTTTTCTCCTCCCTCAGCTCCATTTCTCACTGCTGAAAATACCCACTGGAGCCAAGGCCCCTCCATCTCCACCGAGATCCAAACGCTTTCCTGTTACAACACTCCTCCCTGCTCATCTCAAAGCTGTTGAGGTCAAGGCCTCCAATTAAACATTAACCAAACCCAGGCAGCAGGCAGGAGGCCTGAGCAGGAAGCAAAAGGCAAGAATGAGAGCAGCAAAGGGGAAAGATCTTCAGTGGAGCGTGCCCCCACCTGCAGCACTGCCCAACGACTGGGAAGGAAGCTCTTAAACCACAGGGGGGAACCTGGGCAAGGAGCAGAGCCACTCACCTTCCGTTTGTTGTGATAGGCAACGTAGAGAGCAGCGACGATAATCGCCGTGGTCACCAGATAGGCGAAGAAGTGGCTGTTCTCTGACTTCTGCCCCGGAGAAATGGGAACACTCTTCTCTCTCTCCTTATTAAATAAGGCAGCACCGTTCCCATTTCCAACCCCATCCTCTTCCTCAGGGAGTTCGTCACCATCTGGAGAGCCTTCGGTGACATGAGCAGATGAAACTGACGGCGAGGACGGGCTGTTATTTCCCAGTGAGCCTGCCTGGGCGCCCTGGCTGCTGTCCTGTGTGTTGGCATTGTCATGTTGCTGGTTGCTGCTGCTTTGCTGGTCATCCTGGCTGTTGGTGTTGTCCTGGTGTTCATTATTCTGGTTGTTGGTGT